AATAAGAGCATTTACTCCCTCAAACTGTAACTTTTGTAAGGCTATTTTGTACTTTCCTAACTGCCTGAAATCTGTAAAAGTAGCGTTCTTTGCTGGTATAGTTTGATCCTGAACTCACCCGTGTTATAATCTGTTATATTGGCTGCTTGGAGATGATTGAGCTATAATTAAGACTGAGACCTTTCTGTGGCAGCTGTGCTCTTTGGCAAGACACTTCAACCACCTGTGTACTTGTGGTTGGAGGTGGAAATTTTTTGTGCGATGCAACCACAAAACTGGATACAAAAAAATGAATGCCAAGATAGTAGCTTTTCATTTGAACAAATAGGACCTTTGAGTAGTTTTAAATGATTTTGATCTATAGCAGAACTAAATATAAGATTACAAGAAATATAAACAGATACTTTATGTTTAAAATTTCAATCTACTGTTAAAAAAGTAAGAGTGAGTTCTGAAATTAAGTTCAAAATGTTGTACCATGATAATTAAAACAAGCCCAAAGCTTTAAACTAACTATAATCTCTTCCAAAAATGCCCATGAAAAGACTAATTCACAAATTAAACAAAAGTGTATGAAATAACAGACAGTGATCTACAGAGCGCAAATGTGAACTTGAACTATGAAACTAGTGAGCAGATCCAATTACCTTGTTTAAAAGAAAAAAATGAAAAGTCAATTTGCATTTGAACATTGCTCTGGATGAACAAGTGTTTGCTGTAGCCATGATGAGAGCTTTGGAACAGCCAGTGGGATCAGAACAGATAAAGAATGATTTTGACAGTTATTACCACAGATCTTCTGTATTTATAAAGCAAAGAAATGTCATACACTGCACGCATTTCACCATTAGCAACGGGAAGAGATGATGCTTGTTTTTGATGGTAGTAGTATTATACAGTGGGAGTAGTAGTGCAATAATAGCTCCTTTAGCCAATATTATGCAGTAATGCCAGTTCTGTACTTCACATTCTGCACTCTTGTCCTGACAGTACATCTAAATACTAACTTAAACATATTTACACTAAGTATAATTTAGAAAAAGCACTCTTTCATCAAATGCAAAAACTTTAAAGGGCTCATATTATGTGATTTTCTGATCTATGTTATAAAGTTATTTCCTCATCACAAACTTACCTGGAGTTGTGTTTAGTTTTATTCACACGTTTAACACGGAAACTCTTCATCAGTGTTGTGCAAGTTCACACTTTTCATGAACTAGTTCAAAGTTCAGTTCACACTTGTTCAAAGTGAATAGTTCACGTTCATAGTTCACAATTTTAATTTTGAACTAGTTCAAAGTTCAGTTCATTTTATATTTAGGTGAGATCTGTAAATGAAAGGCTGCATTTATTTTTCAAACTGACTTCTAGTTTACAACAACTTTACAAGATCCACTGTTGGACAAGTGACTTTAAAACTGTAATGTGTTATTTATGACTTGTTACTGTCATTTCTAAGTCATTTGTTACATTACAATATTACTGTATTTAAAATGTAAAACATTACATGACTATTGCAGCACTTTTAATTTACTCTCACCAAAAGAACTGTTAAGATGCTGAACTTTTGCGCCGTATATGGACTGAACCAGGACTAAACCAGGACTGAACCAGGTCTAAACCAGGACTAAACCAGGACTAAACCAGAACTGAACCAGGTCTAAACCAGAACTGAACCAGGTCCAAATCAGGACTAAACCAGGTCTAAACCAGGACTAAACCAGAACTGAACCAGGTCTAAACCAGGAATAAAAAGGTCTATACCAGAACTGAACCAACCAGGTTAAACCAGACTAAACCAGGTCTAACCAGAACTGAACCAGGACTAAACCAGGAACCAGGTCTAAACCAGGACTAAACCAGGTCTAAACAGGACTAAACCAGGTCTAAACCAGGACTAAACCAGAACTGAACCAGGTCCAAATCAGGACTAAACCAGGTCTAAACCAGGACTAAACCAGAACTGAACCAGGTCTAAACCAGGACTAAATCAGGTCTATACCAGAACTGAACCAGGACTAAACCAGGTGTAAACCAGGACTAAACCAGGTCTATACCAGAACTGAACCAGGACTAAACCAGAACTGAACCAGGTCTAAACCAGGACTAAACCAGGTCTAAATCAGGACTAAACCAGGTCTAAACCAGGACTAAACCAGAACTGAACCAGGTCCAAATCAGGACTAAACCAGGTCTAAACCAGGACTAAACCAGAACTGAACCAGGTCTAAACCAGGACTAAACCAGGTCTATACCAGAACTGAACCAGGACTAAACCAGGTCTAAACCAGAACGGAACAGGACTGAACCAGGTCTAAACCAGGAATAAACCAAGACTAAACCAGGACTGAGCCAGAATTGAACCAGGTCTAAACCAGGATTGAACCAGGACTGAACCAGGTCTAAACCAGAACTGAACCAGGACTAAACCAAGACTAAACCAGGACCAAACCAGGACTAATCCTGGACTAGAACTTGGAATCTAGGACCGCCCCTGAGAGAACCCCGAGTGCGATCGGGCGTCAGCTGCGTTTATCTCGGTGGAGCGCGGACTTCTGCGTCGGTCCTTTCGCTCAGGATCACGGTCTACGCGGTTTCACCGCTGCTGATATCGCGGTGATTTTAGCAAATTTGTATGAAGAAAAACGAAAAACCCACCATTTCAATCCAGGTTAAAAAAGCATTGTGACGCGCGTTACTGACATATGTACCAAGTAAAATAATACGCGGGTGGAGCAGCACGTCCTGTGCGTGTAGATTTCAGAAAATAGGATCCATCCTATTTTTTGACGCTCTACACGAGTGTAGGTGCGTATCCCCGTCAAAATACACAGAGAGCATGTATCTATTGTTGTATTTGTGCATTTACCATCAACACATTGTGCTCCCTGGGCAGTTGTGTATCATGTGAAAGAGCCCAGATCCACATAGACTGTTAATTAGTGCTTTGAAATTTACTTTTGAAATCCTTGCGTTTGCCGTGGTCAGCCTGTACAGAAGGTAAATACAAGCAGCTAAACGCGCCCAGTCAAGTTTGATTGACTTCCCATTGAGAGACACAAGAGACACAAGAGCCTCCACCGGCAGCTCGCCTTCGCGTTGACACGCGGCTGTGGTTTCGCGAGGTGAAGTGCGAGCAGATCGTCACTCGTCAGGTGAAAACAAATTCCGACGTTTAACTGAACCCCAACAGTGACGTACGTCGTTCATCACACATAATTTGAACAAATTCACGTTCAAGTTCTTGATTTACAAAAGTGTTGCGTTCAGTTCAAAGTTCACTGAAAAATGAACGTGTTCAATGAACGCGTTCTTTTGAACTCGTTCATGCACAACACTGCTCTTCATATTTAGGTTGAGTTCTTCCCTCAAACTGAAAACACTCTTTTCCTCCTTGTGATGTCATATGGTAATACAGGAAGTGCTCCACTGTGTTTTTAAACCCCACCACCTTCACTAGAATCATTTGGATCATTTCAGCCCTGGAATTGCCCATTCCTACTGAACAAAAGGTGAACGGAGCTGTTATCTTGAAAACTACCACTTCACGACATCACAGGGTGGAACAGAACATTTTGAATTTTGGAGAAGTAGGCTGCGTAATAATCTAGGATTACTCAGACATGTGTGAATGAAACAAAATACAACTCCAGGTATGGTTTTGATGAAAAAACAACACTATAATATTGGTAAACGCTCACAAGAGTCACATTTGCATAATATAGGACCTTTAAAATGAAAAGTAATTTAAAGTTTCCTTTGGGGACATCATGGAGAAGAGAGTGAATGAAACTCCTGATCGTGAGACAGGCAGCAGATGGTGTGGAGTGGTCCTTGCGTCCCTGTGGCTCTGTGATTATGGACACAGCTGTCACTCACGCACACGCACGCTGGCTATACGTCACTGTGCGTGTCGATAATATGTGTGTGCCAATGCTAAAACTTTAGATTTCACCCATCTTTGTTCCTTGTGTCTCCGTAATGTCGCAGCTGAGAAGTGTTTATGGCGACACGTTGGTGCGTCTTTAGCGGTGCAGATCAGAGGGCAAAGATCGGGCTCGTGTTCAAACCCGTGAAGAATGTCAGATTTGTAGTGCACGCTGTCGTTCACTTCTGCAGAGGATTCAGTCACTGTTCTTTGCTTGTGCGTTTTCCCCATCTAGTGGTGTTAATTGTGAATGCAGCTGGAAATGATGTCATTGCAAACTGAAAACGACGAGGGACTCCAAATGTTACTGTCACTTCGACTGTTCGACTGCACTGAAGGTGAAAAACTGCCAGTGATGGATGAAGCTGCTACTAAAACTACACAGTTAATTTCCCAATTCAAAAAGTCCATAGTAAAAGACTATATACTTTAAGACTATGTACTACAAAGGTTAGAGTGATTCTCCCTCTGGTGTCCTTAAAAAACAATATGTTCCCTGGGCAGCTGGAGCGAGGTCTATGACATGGACATCTTGAGGAGCGTTCTCAGTTGCTATCATCTCTGGCCTCCCCAACATGACTGACTACTCCATCTCCCGTGACTCTCTACCACTGCTGGACCCCCAAAGGTAATACCAGTCCCGGGATAAACCAAAATAAATAATGCAAGCATCCAAAAACATGCTGATGTTGATGAGTAAATGAGCAATAGTAAAGATGGATTGACCAGCCTTTTGCGAACCAGGGGTCAGCGTCTAGATCCCTGCTGGGACTGTGTTTTCTACAGAAATGCAACAGGGTATATCAATTTTTTTCAACAAAAAATATACAAGTATAAATATTTTAGACACAAAGCTTGTAACTGAATAAAAGCAAGATAGACAATTGTAATGCTATACAATGAACTACCTGGTTCAAAGCAAAACATCTCTATGGAGACAAGAAGCGTATAAGTGTAAGAAGTATAAGAAGCGTAAGATAGTGCACCTTCAAATGAATATACTATTTTTCTTCAAATGTTATTTATTTTTTGTGATAAACCTGTGTGAATGAAACAAAACACAATTCTGGGTATGTTTGGGACGGTGAAACATGAATGTTTTTAAAATCAGTGTTTTCTATGCGCTAATTTAAAGCAATGGAGTGGTGAAAGGAGATGGGGTGGTGTCAAAAGGCGTGTAGCGGTCCATGACTTCGTTGATCCATTTGTTGTACATGCACAGTTTGGTGTACACAGAGGGGTCGGAGGGGTCATAGCAGCCGTGATCAAACCACTGGACCCCCTGCAGCTGTCCATTGCACTCCAGCACTGCCCCACCATCACCCTGCACACAGGAGGTGGGTGTTTTACATTCACACACAGTTCACAGAAAAAAGATGGGTACAACATTAATGATGCTCATTCACACACCCACAACGGCAAAACGTTAACAAAGTAGTAGTTGGAAAAAAAAAAAAAAAATTCTGTTGTTTCTGTTGAACAAATACTCAAATACTTTTACTTTTTACTCTTCAAGCTTCTTCCCTGCTTAGACTGCTGCCCACACGACCTGGCCCCGGATAAGAGGAAGAAAATGGATGGATGGACTCTTCATGTACATTTTGAACAGGCACTTTAATGCTTTTACAGTACATGACACATTGTCACAAAGAGTCTTGTATTGATATTGCGTTATCAGTTCCAAATTCACTTGCTGTTATAAATAACCTGACCTAGATTTTCAGTTTACAACTGTGTTTTATAATGGCAGTAAATAAATACATGCAGTTTTATCGATTTGGAAATCAACTTTTTGGAAATGTGACGATAACGCAATCTCATGTTGTTTGAATATAAAAAAATATCAAATTATTTTTCAGTATCTGATTAAAATGAATGTCTTCTTGTTTGCTTAAGTTTTGGCACAGGTAAAACAGCTTTGCTTTAGTTTAGTGAAGTAAAAAAAGGAACTTGCATATTGGTATAGTAGCATAACGTTCTTACCAGGCAATTGTCCGTGGTGGCACTGCCAGCACACACCATTCCCAGGCTCCAGTAGATGAACTCAGGGAATGTGCTCTCACAGAAGCGGTCGTCCACAATAGGGACTCTCAGACACTTGAGCAGCCCTGGAGACTCATCTGAAAAACAGGGCTAAGCATTATTACATTCAGTTTAGAACAAAGGAAACCTCTAACCTTGCACGCCAAGATGGATTCGAGTGATAGTGATGAGTTCACAAACTAGAACTCAGCTGTTATGTGAGAGTCCTTCACATAATAATCTGGTGCGAGCCAGGTTAAGAAACCTTAGGACTTTAGGAATACTACTCTGCCGATGTTCATTTGTCATATGGTTAAGGTACACTTTACTGTCCCTGTAGGGAAATTTGTCCTCTGCATTTGACCCATCGTTGCCTCTGGAGCACCTCCTCAGGAGCAGTGGGCATGCATCTACATGGACTTGTTGGCCTTAACTAGAGGATTTTACCAGTGGTGCTTGTTTTGGGGTGATGGGAAAACCAGAGCGCCCAGAGGAAACCCACCCAGACACAGGGAGAACATGCAAAGTCGACCCAGGGATCTAACCTGGAACCTTCTTGCTGTGAAGAGTAAGTGCTAGCCACTCAACATTTTTAATAGGGTATACAGTTTGAAATAATAATTATTAAACTTTCTGTCCACTATGTAAGTTCTGGTTACGCCCCTCTCCTATCGCCACTTTCTTTTACTATCTTTGCAGTCCTGCCTCTCCACAGATCTGACCCAGTGCTGTCCTTTGATTTTCTCCATGGAGATATGTAAGTTTAATATCATACTGTGAAAAAGTAATACATGTGGCAAGTGGTGGGCCCTCCATCAGAAATGTTTCATGGTGCACCTTTAAACAAGTCAACTGAAAAACACAACCCATGTAGTTTAAATGCAAAACCAGCTTCGTTAACATTACGCCAGTTTGGGCTGTACTGACAAACTAACAACTGTAAACATTAGCATTAAAACCCGCTTACATTGATTTGGGACAGTGGAGCCCCATCCACTGACGGAGCAGATGTCCCCTGGCCGAGGGCACTGACTGGGCAGGGGGATGGGCTTGACGTACTGGTTGATTTGGGCGGGGCGAGAGAGGCGTAACATAGAGAGACTGTGGAGAGGCGAGCGGTACGGACTGTGATGGATAACCTCAGCTATGGAGATGTGCTGCTCTGTGCCCTCCTCTGTACCCAGGTCGTGTTCACCCAGAGATGCTGTGGTGCCGGTAGACCTGGAAGTATGATGGAAGTGAATAAATAATTAATAAATAGGGATTTATTTATTATTATAATTTTTTTGGGCATTTTTAGACATTAAAAAAAGACATTATTTTAAAATCCAAATTACTGTTTTAAACTTATGGTATGCTGTTGCTAATATTACTTGGTATTAGTGTTTTTATACTAAATTTCAAACTTAATTTTGATACTAAGGAACAGACTCGATACACAATACCAATTCTGATACCATGATGACAATTTAAGAAAACACTTGACAATACAATGTAATTTTCAACATTACTTTCTACTAGTACTCTCAGGGTTGGGACAATTTGAATTCTTTATTTTGAATTTTTTTCAATTATCACAATGGAATCTGGCAATTCCACAATCCTAAAATAAAATTTGTCAGTATCTAATAAAATCTAATAAATTCTCTTGTTGGCCCAAAAAAGCACACTGTGCCTTTGTGGTGACTAACCACACATTTTAAATGAAATTAATGTCAGACTTCCAAACTCTGCAATGAACACAAAGCATGCGTTTAAAGCTACACTAGGTAACTTTTTAATCTAAGTCACAATAAAATTATAATATATATATATATATATATATATATATATATATATATATATATATATATATATATATATATATATATATATATATATATATATATATATATATATATATATATATATATACATATTTTTTGTTCCATTGTGAGTGGGCTTCCATTTCCACAAACCTGACTCTTATTTTGCCTAGAGGAGGGTCTCCTTCTGCCTGTTCCATGGTAATGTTTCACTGACTAAAATCTTCCACAATATTGCATAAATCCTATCTTTCCCCTAGGGGTGTATCAAAAAAACAATTCTGTGATATATATCGCAATACTTCATCGCACAGTTCTCAAAATGATGCAAAATTCATCTAGTGTATTAGTTACATTCACTGTTCTCATGATTTAACAAATGTAATAAATTATATTATACTTTTGTTCTTGTGAAGGAGTACTTTATTATTAGAAAGTAATTATTGATAAATCACAATATATCATCGTTTGTTTTAGTATCGGAATATATTATGATATAGCATATTGTGACATGTATATCATGATACATATTGTATCTTCAAACTCATGGCAGTGCACACCCCGACCATCTCCATGAAAAATGTTCTGATGTTCTGAAGTATAGTTTTAACCTTCTACTTCCATGGAATCATGTAATGATTAAATATTGCAGCAACAAAGGCAACATCTGCTGTTTTTCTATCAATATCAAGTGTCTCTAACAGTGACAACAGGCAAACAGCTCAAGTGTAATTGTGAAAATACATCTGTGTACAAAAGGCTCAGTCCCATATGTGCAATGAACAGGAAATGGATGTTAATGACATATCTGCAGACACTTGTGTGAATCAAACGCCCTGATACAGACTGTGCTGCAGTTATAGGAGCAACAGCTGATAGCACATTAAATACATCCATGAATCAAGTCTGTCTGAGCAACAGCAATTATTCACATTTATGACATGATAGAGATGTGTGGAAGTCAGTGGTGACAGATTAGTCAATTAAATACCATATAGTTTGACATTCTTTCTGACATCATTTTTGTGTTGTTTTATTTTCATTTACTTGACTTTATCAAGATCCCAGGGGTGACTGGGGACATGGAGTCCAAGTGGACCATGTTCTCCACCTTCATTGTCAATGCTGCCACTCATAGCTGTGGTCGCAAGGTCTCTGGTGCCTGTCGGGGGCGGTAACATTGCATGGGGGTCAGGGACCGCACCTCTGGACTTGGCAGACTGGTGTGGTGGTCCCTCTGTATAAGAAGGGAAATTGGAACACACCAGAGGGTGTGTTCCAATTACAGGGGAATCACACTCCTCAGCCTCCCCGGTAAGGTCTATGCCAGGGTACTAGAGAGGAGAATCTGGCCGAGAGTCGAGTCTTGGAGTCAGGAGGAGCACTCCAAGGGGTGCTCAAGGGTTCATGGGAGTTTGCCCAACCCGCTCATATGGGCTTTGTGGATCTGGAGAAGGCATTCGACCGTGCCCCTCGTGGTGTCCTGTGGGGGGTGCTCTGGTGTATGGGATCTGGGGCCCTTTGCTAAGGGTTGTCCGGTCCCTGTATGACCGGAGCAGGGGCTGTGTTCACATTGCTGGCAGTAAGTCAGACCTGTTCCCGATGCATGTTGGACTCAGCCAGGCCTGCCCTTTGTCACCAGTTCTGTTCATTGTTTATATGGACAGAATTTCTAGGTGCAGTCTGGGGCCGGAGGGGGTCCGGGTTCGGAACCACAGGATCTCATCTCTGCTGGTCGCAGATGATGTTGTCCTGATGGCTTCATCAAACCAGGACCTCCAACATGCAAGTGTGTGTGGAGAGGGAATTCTGGTACTCTTTGCACAGACTGCTGACTCAGCAACCCGGATAAAGAGGAAGAAAATGGCTGGATGGATACTTGCCTTTATATGGTTTTATTATGTTCAACAACAATACAGCATTATTTTTCTATTTGCAATTTTGACTTTAAACCTTCAGAGGTGGGTAGAGTAGACACAAATTGTAACAGTAAGCATACTGTAACTTCATGTAACTTATTGTAGGCTAGTACTCAAGTAAAAGTACAAAGTAATGGAAAGAAAATACTTACTCATTCTCAAGGAAGAGTGATTAAATCATGAGCAGTGCAAGAAAAACAAATGTTCGAATCAGTTACACATCACATAAAGCTTTTGTCACTTATACACTTACTCATAAAGGGAAGAGTAGCCAAAACCTTTACTCAAGTAAGAGTACTCTTACACTGTTAAATATAGAGTAAGAAGAATGGTGACGAATAAGAAGGACATTTTTATGAAAGGTTATTAGAGAAAATATTCTAGGGTAATTGTGCCTTTACCCACATTTATATATTAATTATTTGAATTCACATTTTGCTTTGTCTATCTACCGCAGGCTGACTTGGGACTATTTTTCAGTGTATTATGTCCATGAAATCCAAACCTACATAGGGGCGCACATGAACGACGTGACGATCCACCATTCACTGATGAGGGCACCACTGCAGATCTGAGACCCTCCGTTGTGTAAACGGGCCTGCCATGGCCTGGAGTGAGGGAGGCACTCCCTGCTATCCCCCGACCACACAGAACCTGCAAAACAGCAAGGAACCATCAACAAGGAAAATTCACAGTATGTTTTCTGGTGTCAACTCTAAGCATATGGCATAATATAGGACTGTATACTTCTGCCCACTTATGAATTATTAATGTGGGAAATTCAATAGTTGAAATACAATTTTTTTTTTCATGGATCCCCTCTAGACATAACTTTATTATTATATCAATAAATAAATAAATAAATTAATTAATTAATTAATTAATTAAAGACCAATGGATGCTGCCATGCTGTCATGACCATTTAGTGATCAGTTTATTTGTCAGTTAATATTCATCAATCATTGTTTGAGGATTTAGCTGTGAAAAAAGTGCACTGCCTTTCCTAGGGCATTCTCTCATAAATAGTCTGTGTGATTTGATAACTGCATCCACTGAAAATGTGATCATGATTTGATGAATTAATAATGAATAAAAGATGATATAACATCAGAAATAGATGGGATACAGATTAAAAGAATAAACAAAACAATATTTTTAGGAGTCATGATTGATGAAGGTCTGAACTGGAGGTCTTATATAAATTACACTAAAGGCAAAATTTCTAAAGCAATTGCTGTACTGCATAAAGTAAAGTTCTCACTAAATAGTGAAGCATTAGTCATCTTGTATAAGTCTATAATTGCACCACATCTGATGTACTGTGCTGTGTGGAAATTTGGGGGTCAACATGTAAAACTTACCTATAACCTTTATTTATTTTGTAGAAAGGGGCCTTGAGAATTATCATCAACAGTCATTATAGAGAACCAGCCAACCCATTATTTGTAAAACTTATAGTGTTGAAAATGTATGATATTGTTGACTTAAGTATCCTCCAAGTAATGTATAAAGTGCAATGTATTACCTGCAATATTCAAAGACTGTTTGAGATGAGAACAAGCCCCTACAATTTAAAAGGAACTTACATGTTTAAAAAACCCAGATTCAGAACCAAAGTTATGGAGCGAAGCATCACTGTGAAAGGAGTTCACTTATGGAATAGTCTTGGCAAAGACATCAAACTATCAAGCACAATAATGGCACTTACAAAATACATAAAATCCAGTGCAATATGTATGTATGATAAGGAAAACTAAGTAGTTACGCTTAAAGGTGAAGATTTATGTTTGCAATTGTTTATCATTTGTGACTGAAATGAAATGTATTGATTTTAAATGTTTTAAAGTAACACTCAGTGTTAATGTATTGACTGGAAAAGGGAAAAGGGGGAGATACGTAACATAAGACTACTCTTCTTTCTGCTCCTTTTCATTCATTTCTTGTATGTATTTTTAATATTAGGACACTGTCAATGTATTTTTAGATATAACATATACATAAATAAATACATTTAGTTAACTATATTGTTGATACAACAGTATAACTAGTGTATAACCCTGCATCTCTTAATCATATTGTACAGATCTACTCTGTGTATGTAGCCATTAGCACTAACTGTACTTTAGAAGTAAATGCAGTACTTACCAACAAGCCCCAGAGCAGCCAGAGTCAAGAGAAGCTTCATTGTAGTGTGTAGTCAGTAAAGATCAGTGATCTCCTCTGCTGTCTCTTATATTTGAGACAGTGGGTGGGTTTTATTACTCACCTGCATCATTTCCCATCCAACTTTATCAGGACACTTTATCATTTTTTTCATTTCAACATCTTCAGCTAAAAATATTACTTCTGCGAAGGTAAAATCTTTCTTGTTGTTAACTTGTGATTTCAAGAAACGAGTCATATTTACACTGGTTTAGTGTTTCTTCAGAGGTAGGCCTACACAACGACACATTTTACTTTCTGAATGGTCGGTGTGTACTACATATTATTTTCTTGGCCACAACCCATATATGACGGTCAGTGTGTAAAATGTGCACGTAACAAGTTAATATTTCACCACTATCACATTTGGCTAGAACTATGGAACTTTGAGGACAGGTTAGAACAGGAGTGGGCAAACGTTTTGACTCGTGGGCCGCAAAGGGTTCTAAAATTTGACTGAAGGCCAGACCAGGAGCAGATTGGATGGAGTTTTTTGGTAATCCACTTCATAAGAGAGAGAGAAAAAAAAGGGATATGAAGAAAATATATCCCATGTTACTTGAAATATCAAAAATCATTACAAAGCATTAAAACACTAATTATTATTATTATTATTATTATTATTATTCAAGTTTGTCGGGCTGGACTAAAAAGATTGAAGGGCCGCATATGGTCCTCGGGCCATGGGTTTGCCCACCCCTGGGTTAGTTACTGAGCCAAATTAGAAAAAGAGTAGGCCTAAGCAAAGTGCCTTGCAGACTATACAAGCATTAAGCATGTGATTGGAGTAGGTTTTCTTTTCAGGGTTTAGGTGAATAGAATACTTCTTCTTTTTTTCTTTTTTTTACCTTTACTTTTACCTTTACTTTTTTTTTTCTTTTTACCTTTAATGTTGCACAACTTTTCCCAAATGACTACACTGTAGCTAACACAGGCATAGAATGCTACACCCCTGCAGAAATCCAGCAGCACTGATTAGATGAGAGGTTATAGAATTGTACTAAATAGAAAAGCCTTTTATGCATATACCCTAACAAGTATCATTCAAACACAATAGTACACTGTACTTTGGCGTTGATATGTCATGTTTTCTCAATTTAAATTATTGGCTCTGTTTGGCAGTTATGGGCACTTTAAAACTAAATACTAAATCTAAGACAAAAATCTAGCATAGAGGACTTCACTGGAAAAGACTAATTCTCAGTGGGTTAAATAAAGGTTAATGAAATACTGTACTTTACAGATATTGTATTTCCAGCCTTGACGCGCCCTCTAGTGGCAGTAATCATAAAAGCAGTCATTTAGCGCCGGTGGCTAATGTCCATGTGCTTTTGGTGAACACTGTGTGAGTGTTCTCGTGTTGTCAACAAGCCTTGCGATGGTCAAAATGTAAGTATGTACAGTATTACTGCAAATTCTGACTTTGTTAGTGGTGGTGTGATCACCATAGCCTCGGACCAAATCTAGCGTCTTCTCTTTTATATTGTACAATTAAAGATCATACCAGGGTAGGGTGACCAGATTTTCAAAATTTTAAACTGGGACAATACTAAATAAAATTGTGAAACGAGCGTGTAATATTGTGTCAGTCGTGTCAGTCATAATCTGTATTTTGATTAAACAAATGACAATTTATGCGCCTCTTAACTGTTGGCAGGGATCAGATTAGTCAAAAATTATGATAGTCCTGTTTTAGTCCTGGTTTAGACCTGATCTAGTTCTGGTTTAATCTTAGTTAAGTCCTGGTTTAGACCTCGTTTGGATCAAATTTGTCAAAAATAGGGTCACCAGGGACATTTCTTGTATAAAACTGGGACAAGTCACTGGTTTTATACAAATCTGATGGGACAGGGGACATAAGGCTCAAAACTGGGACTGTCCCGGGTAAATAGGGACGTTTGCTCATCCTGTATGGGTCAACTTGGACTTGACAAGGGATTACACAGACAACTTTTGTATTGTAGTTTTTCTAATAGGAGTGTACATCAAAGTAAATAGGACATGTTGTGCATCATCAGAGCAGATCGTCACATGCCGCCTATATTCATACATGAATCATCACACCACATCAGACGGCCTCTTGGATCATGGACTTGTCTGAATGTACAAAAAGCTCCCCTCACTCCCCTGTTTACTCGTCTCTGTGGTTTTCTGATTTACATGTTGTTTCTTTTCATCTATTATTAATCACAACAGACAGTGCAGTTTCACGGAGGCCTCACAGAAGCTCCACTCCAGCTCCATGTATTGTTTCCTGAGATAAAAGCTTTGCCTTGGGCTCCATCACTGACTGAAATAACCAAACTCGAAAGGTAATGTTAGTGCGTATAAATATTTTATTCAAGATATGACAAACATTCAATTCACTGACAGAAACACTGGTCAGATCAGATCATGACAATAATGGAAACAGAACTGGCTGTTTTCTGAAAGGTACACTGCGTAACTTTTCAGGTTTGAGGTTTGCCACCATGAAGATGCTACTTCTTTGCCTGTAATGGTTCACAATATGTTATTAAACTTATATAAGACGCATTTATTAAATTATGGGTGTTTTTATTGCTCAAAAATGCCTATAATAACATGCATTCTTCACAGATCTCACCTGTAAATTGGCCTAAGTGGCATCTCCTGCTTGTCTCTGTGGAGATTGATAAGTTTAATGCCATAGTTTGGAACATTCCAGGCAAAGCACTAACATCCCCACCAGGAATATTACACAGTGCGCCTTTAATGTGAAATTCAGATGCTTGCCAAGTAGTCAGTTTCTTAATGCAAGCTGCTGCGCGTTATTTGAGTTCACATTGTCTGCACTATAGAGGTTTGAAGTTGTGTGGTAGTTAAAGCTGACAGTTTGAAGTCCACAGGTTGAAGAAAAGGCAATAGTTGTAGTTACTTGTTGAGTTGAGTTTTTACTGCTGCTGGTAGAGGATGTGGTAGAGCTGATCCTGTACGATTCCAGTGTATGTGCTCATCACTTTGGTGGTCTCTTCATAGAGGTTCCTGTTGGCAACAAAGTCATCACAGTTTAATAAAGATGTGACATGGCAGTGATTATAGTTAATAACCTAGCATCATGTTTATTACTGCTTGAATTAGTAGGCTAATTATCTTGAGTCATACTGTAGAAACATTTTGACTAGCCTAGAATAAAAAACGTGCTAATGGAACTATTCATATTCTATTTAACCAGAAAGACAAATTCAATAATTTATTGGCTGGGCAAAATTTACACAAATGTAGTAAAAGTATACAAAAATCAAGATGTAAAATAGTGGTATAATGCACATAGTGTAATAGGTTTGCCTAAGTGTGCACATAGGGTTGTCTAAGTGTGTCTAAGAACCTTATTTCTAGTTTATAATGTTTCGAGCATTTGTGATACAGTAGATGGCAAAATGGAGTGATAATCCAATTAAATATTTATACCTTTTACAATGTGAGTTCCTAATGTTACTATTTCTACATCTATTGTTTACAAGTTCCTCTTCCTCACATTGATTGATGAATAGTTTTTACTCAATTGTATTTTGTCTGATTAAATCAGATAAAATGTCCTTCAGTTATAATTTCCTGAGCAAACAATAAAGGCTGTCTCGACCACGCTTTTACTGACAGGAGTAGTAGCTTAAAAAGACTGAAGTTATTGACTATGGCTATGACTATTAGAAATGACTGAATCTTGACCTTTATGTTAATATTCATTCAATGTGCATGAAACAGTCCCTTACTTTGCTTTCTCCTCCTGCTTGAGGCCCTTGACGCTGTCCAGATACCCGCTGGCTGTGTTGATTGCGTTCTCGTAGTAGGATCTGAAGGCATTGGTCATCTTTGTGAAAGTGCCCGGCTGCTCCGCCTCCTCCTCCACCTGCCTATACACACGGAAGCCCTCCGCATCTGCTCCAAAACAATAACAACAGGTCAGGGGTCAAGGGTCAAAGCTTCTCAGAAAAACACTATTGATTGATTTGCTCAGATTGGGTAGTGTGTTTGTAGAGGTGACTCACTGATAGCCAGCAGGGCAGCGAGCACAGTGATGACCAACAGCTTGTTCATCTTGGGGCAGTTCTGCGAAAAAAAAAAAAAAAACAACTCTGTCATGCCAGGTATTCTCCACTGGGGGGCGACCTCTGGCTGTGTTTCAAATTCTTATTCTCATATTCATCATTACACATTCCACAGTTTACACATTTTACTTTAAAGTCAGTCACATTTTGTAAAGACTACACCTAAATTAGCCACGATAAAGCATGAAGAAAGCATTAAGACTGCCTTTGTAACTATTTAGCCTAATTAATACCCTAACTCCAAACTTCTTAATTAAGCTGTTACAAAGCCTGAATCATTCGCAATAAAGCACCAGCTCATCATCTCCATCTTACACTAAGAAAATCTAAAATCTATAGGATTTCAAGACGGCCTCTTACCGATATAGTATTACTTCAGCACAAATAACTATTTTTCTTGCAGATAAAACCAGATAGACACGCTCACATCCGGTCACAACAGAGCTCCTCATATTATTTTCAGTCTCTTAATAATTATTATTTATTCAAATTCTAAATACTAAACATGGCATTCATTTAAAGGTGGTCTGATGTTACTTACTGATAAATCTGTTTACCATCAATCACCCAGCAGTTTATCAAGTTGTTTGCTGTTGTTTTTGTTTACAATTTAACATTTTTTTGATTAATGCATCTCTGTGGACACTTTGCAGTTTGCTAATAACGGTCACTAGACATTCAGTTCCAAGTTCTATACCACAATTCAAATAATTCAACAAGAAATACTTTATAAAATTAATAGAACTAAATATGTATGTAAGAAAGTGCTATGTGTTTGTACTCACGTTATCCGGTGCAGCAGAAACAGACTAGGAGCCACAGTAGTGAGAGCTGGTTTTATAGGAGCACACATGTGTTGACTTGTGCCTCCTGAGCCAAAGGGCACTCGGCCTCAGATAAACATGCTCTGTTGTCCACTTTCTAATGCACACATGTGGAGCTAGATAAAAACAGATACCAGACACTGGGAACCAACAATGTAACTTAAGGTCAACCATACTGGCCGTTTGTTTTTGTATTTTTGTAGGACATAGATCATAGAGAGATGTCATTATGATTGAGCTAAAAATAGGTATCCTTCCATGCTTTTATTTGCTTTGGTTTGTGGTTTTCAGTCTGAAAAGTAGGCAAAGCAAAAGTGTAGTGCCCTTGTTTTATTTCTGATAAGGATTTTTTTTTCATAGTTTCATTGACATAGGCCTGTTACAGTAAATAATTTTGAAGCGTGATATATTGCTGAAGAAAATACATGATAAACGATAATATTGAAACTACTGGATTATCAGAAAAAAAATATACAATATCTGCAATATCTTTACAAGAGCTACAAGAGTAACAGATGAATGAAACACTTTAGTAGTTAGTAGGCTGTATATTTAATAAGTTATTAAAGTTATATACTCAACTCTCTACAGCTCAGATCTTGTCATAGTACCGGAAAATGACAAAATGTGTCAATAGTAATTATTATGACAGGCCTAGACATAGCAATATCACACAGATTTGCTGAAAATTTGTATGTTTATTTGATATTTTTATGTACACACAGTTTTTCAGTAATAATTAGGAACCATCATCAGGTAGCTTTACTAATTAATGACAATTTGTTTGACATGAAAACATAATGATAATACAATAATGATACTAATCTTGATGTAATAAATGAAATTAAAATTAATCTGTCCCTGGGATCACCATATTTTTTCAGTTCTCAGATTATTTGTCCAGTTCATCCTGTCTCATTATGGCAGAGGAGTTTGGCACTTGCATAACGCTGCTGCTACATGGACATATGATTCCAACAGTCCTAAGTCCCAGTGGGACAGCTCTACAGTCTACAGAGTTCTGTACACGTCACCCGGTCAAGTGGGGTTAAGACAGATATGGGACATCTATTGGTTTTATGCTTTTATGCTCAACTGCAAGAATCTAAAAGTTTGTCTTCTATAAACCTTATTTATTAAAATATTTTAATATTGCTAAAAGGCTACGGATTAAAGTAAAATGTTATAAATGTAATATACACATAGGTTTTTACTATACATTCATCTTAGATGAGGACAGGAGTAATTCAGAGAACAGTACTGTGAAGTTTCATTATTCCCATCCACGTTTTACCAACTCAGTGATTTTAGATGTCATGTGATCTCTGCTGACCTGTGACCTCTAGCACAACTGTGATCAACTCACTCTGCTTTTCTGTGATTACAAGAAGACTGATTGGTTCATTTGAGTTTAGAGTTCATTGTATCCACTTTTTGTCCTCCTTTGGTTAATTTCTGATTTGGCGCTACAGTGGAAATGATGTCCGCCTAGATTTGACCTGGAATAGCTCCAAAGACTTGATTTAGCTCTGGTGATACTTTGACAGGCAAACCTTTTCTTTGATGGTATTTGATGTGAAATGCTTGAGAGCCACTGATTTATAACAAAAACATTATGACAGATGGCCACAACTATTGAAGTCTACACCTCCTGCCATGTTTAATGTCATATGCTTTTTTAAAGGTTGTACTATGTAACTTTTGAAGGGTGAAAAGTCCAGCACCTGCTTGTCTCCATGGAGATGTTACTGTTTTGCCTGGAATGTTCCACAGCAGGGAGATCCCCATAGAGCCAAAAAGGTGACACATTTGAGCCTTGTTACATGTTAGATCTGTGGAGAGGTGACCCGCTCATCTTAAAAATGTTGTTTGAGATACTTTTTTACTACTTTGTACATTGTGTTTCCAACCAGCCTTAAACTGTTGGGTTTTTTTATGGACATTTTTACTATTCCTTTGCTACCCATTAGATGGTGCTACTGTACTGAAGACATTGCTGACATTGAAATTATGATATATTATGTGTACACAGTAAGTACGCAACATACTAAATTCATATTCTCACTGCATAACCTACAGCCATGATTATCAACTAGTGAAAATTCTAATTTCATTCATTTTATGTAATAATTGACGTTTTTGGAGAGTTCTGAGTAAATGGTCACTAATTTAAGCTCCCTAGTGCCAGACACAGTCACGCAGACATGATTAGATGTTTTCTTTTAATTGGTGTAAGTTCATTATGTTTTATATTGCATGATAAAATCACCTGCTGTGTATGTACCATTTGTTGTTTGTTCCATTTTCAACTGCATAACAAATCTTTTAAATATATTTTAAACTCTTTTTAGTTATGTAGAATTTACAGAGTGTCACATTTATATAATCCAGTGTCACCCTTATATAACCCGTGCAGTACTAAATCCAGTGTAATGTAATGAGGCAGCGTTGCACAGTTCAGTTCAGTTTATTGAACACACTCACACATATACATAAACAATCGCTCACAGAGTTTGTTAGTGTATCAAACAGGACACTGTACATGCATAACACATTTGCATAGGTGTTCTGACATAAGCTGGGCCTCCTTCTCTCGTGAATGCTGTTAGGAGAGAGCCTCATGACACACTGCATTACTTCTCTAAACCAGATTGCATAGTTTCTAGATCTATTGTGTTACAGGTGGGTTACAGGTGCACTTGAACTAGATCTAGCCCTCCACAGGCAGGACTTCGTCCAGGACAGCCTTGATGCGGCTGATGGCGACTTCCAGTGGCTCACGCATATGGGTGCGCAGGTATTTGCTGTAGACACCAAGAATAGCAGAGCGAGCTCTGTCTACAGCAGGGGACACCTCCTCACCGACAGCCCTGCACACAGAAGTAAAGGATTATATTAATTTTGCTGTACTTTGTAGTTGTTTTGTAAGTCTGTAGTACTTACCTGACCACCTGCATGTAGGGTTCCAGGCCCTGGGTCTGCTGCGTCAGAGCTTCTTTGGCTGCCTTTGTGTTCTCGTCGCCTTCAGCTGCTTGCATGACCTTGTTGTAAGCGTTTTGAATCCTTCTGAATAAGGTGCTCTTTAGGTCATTGTATGTTGCCATGAGATCAGGGTCAGGCACTGGGACTTCACAGAGGCTCAGTGAGACTGAAAACACAAAATAACACACATGTTCTTTGAACTGGAGATGAGATTCATTTCACCCTTTGGTTTGGTCTTTCCAATATGAGTAGTTTCTGATGGTGGCTGTTGTCTGCATCAGCCACACAAACTAAGCATTTATTTGAATCACTTCTAACTGAACATTTACAGCTAACTTCTCTCAAAACTGCATGGAAGCATTGCTCCTTCTAAATGTACTTTCAATTACTGCATATATTTGCAAAACTACAATTTAAACTACGTTATACCTATTAGATACTTAATCACATGAAATTAATTCCAAAATGTCTGGAAGTTGCATTTAAGTCTTAGAACTATGGAAAAAAAAAAAAATTAATATTAAACAAGTAATGCATTTAAAATATAAACAGTTGTTTGAATGGAAAAATGTCTGCACATAAAGTTAGTCAAAGGTGTAATTTGTGCATTCTATTTAAATAACATTTTGTATAATTCTGTCAACTTACCCTGCAGGGCGAGGAAGACCGCAAAGACAATTTTGGCATTCATGTCTGCAACAGAAACAGTTAGAAATGTTAACTTAAAATGTCATTAGAATCTTTAGTTAAATTGAACAAGAGCATTTCATGAGTTTTAAGGGAGAATCTTGGGAGAAAAGTCTTACCTGCTGCTGTTCTGGTGACAGTCCACTCTGAAAGTGAGTTGTCTGTAACTCAGAGCTCACATCTGGACGCGATGATATAGGGGGGCACTGCAAACACACGTCATCTGATGAGCATACACACACCTACACACAGCACAACACACACACACACCTACACACACACATACACACACAGTCAAACAAAGTCCAATGTACATGATATCCACTCGAGAATTCCTTATGTGGAAGAAAGGCTTATGTAATGCCCTGACCCCTTTCGCTCATGGTGCTGTCCTTGAATGTCACAAGACTTGATGAAAATCTCCTTTGATCATGCACATTCCTGATTCATGGACCTCTCCTGCGTTTATTTCATATTGAATGCTGTTGAGACTGCAGCACTGTGGTCAGCAGGTCAGTCAGGTTGTCTAGACACGCATGCTGCAGTGGACTCTGACCTGACCTTTGACCCCATACATACAGATTACTTCAATGATAAGATCACACAGAGAATATCATGCCTAATACCATTCAAAATGTACCTCTGATGTCAAAAAAAAAAAAAAAAAAAACCTAAAAAATCAAGTCAACACTCTCTGTTACACAGGCTGAAATTGTGTGTTCTTACTTGAACCCATGTAAATCTGCTCTGCGTTGGTCAAATACTTTGCAGTAGTACACCATAGTTGGTGTGACAGGCAGTTTATTAGTAACCCACTCTGTATTGGCAGTGGTTTTGCCACATTTTCTTATGACAAGTCATAAGAATGTATGTTTTATATCATATTTATTAGTCATAATGGTATCTCTCTGGAGACAAGCTGGTAGCATGCCCCCCTCCTATGCATGTCACAGTAATGAATTTTGAAGTACAATATATTGCTGAATAAAAGATAAACCTCTGCAGCTCAAATCTTATTGCAGCGCAGAAAAAAGCTGAATATCTCTCATATACTGAATGATATGTCGATATTGTAATTATCATGATAAGCCTACCTCCTCCCCATCCAAAAAATTACACGGAGCATAAGTTACATAGGTTTTTCAGCTATTAGTAAATTAATCAAAACTGCTGACATGTTCCATATTTTGTCACTTGACATATTTTTCATAATACTGATGTCTCGGCTCATTGTTTATATAAATTACAATGATTGCTGAGTGTTTTTAACACTTTAATCATTTCTTGTGGATAACATGAAACTACAGCAGAATAGTTCTAAATGCATTTGTTTCTCTTCACTTCTCTCCAAATGGATTGTAGCTGCTGATTTTGCTTTGCATGTTCTCCCACAGATTGTCTCTCCAGGTGGAAACCCTTTGGTAGTAACTGGAGACCACTGGTTGGAGGTGATCCTCATAGTATGCTCCAGCCAATCCTAGAACCGCCTGCCCCACACGCTGCATCTTCTCTTTGGCCTCCCTGAAACAAAAACAGTGTAAAGTAAGTATTAAATGAGGAAGTGAGAGCCTTGTCATTTTCGATGTATATGTATGGAAAAGAATTTAAATGATAATACGTGGCTCTGTCTTTCCAACGCTGCATGAGACCAGCAGAATCAGCAGGAGCTGATGTCTGAGCGAGAAGTGGCCCACATGCTACAAAACAAGGACAAATAATAATTATATGCCAGGGGAAATTGTGTCGTAGTTTTCATCAATAAACTCCAACTAAAATTTAAAAAGTAATCGAAAATTGCTTACATTTTTTATAAATATTCCTATTTTTTGAATAATAACAACTGAACATGAACAATGACATCCAAGTTGCACTTTTAAATCCTAATTTCCAATCAGACCATGAAGCCATGCAATACAAGTTATCATAGGTAAAATCAACTGTCTAAAACTAAGAAGAATCATTTAACTAAAACAAAGATTTTTTTTTATTTATTTAAGGACTAAAACTAAATTAAAACTACTTGTGAAAATTAACACTGTATGCGTCTATAATAATGAACATAAATAGCACTAAAACAATATATTATTTCACTTGAAGGAGTAATAGTGGGTCTTATGTTCCTCCCATAAAATGCCAAAACCCCATTTTTTTTAGGTTTGAATAACTGTACTGTGTAACTAGGTGAAGGGCTGTACTTTCAGTACAGTGTATTATTATTATTAATATATATATATATATAAATATATATAAATAATCTCCTTTCCATATAACAAATATATACATTGTTATGGATACCTTGAATTAAAAGGATGAGACAAAGAACAAAGCCTCTCTTATCCATCTGTTGTAAAGAAGAAAAAATACACAATTATCTTTACAATAACGCAAAGATACAGTATAGACAGTAAAGTTACATATTTACAGAGTTCAGAGAATATGAGAGCATTGGGTTCACAATGTTACAACAAATATGTGCAAAAGCAGTGACCAAATTTAATGTTACCTTTTGAGTTGGTGTTCAATCGACACACACACAAGTTGAATGAAATGAGTGTTATCAAGCCGTTTTATTTGTATTAGGTGATCGCACACAGTGCACTTTTGTCCTCATCGCACGACTGTTAAACCTCCCTATTCAAGGTTGTCCAAAAATGGAAAATGTCCATTTCCTGTTTTTGTAACATATCAAACAAGTCAGCGGTATGTGATCTGTTTCGACTTGTCTTATGGCAGTTCTTGTGTCTATATTAAGGTCAGGAGCTTGTCCAGTGCCCTTTGGATGTGGACCCACAATGGGGCTGATACCAGTGCTATCGCTCGCACAGATATGGGTTTGTGCAAAGACTGGAGGAGTCAGTTAGAGAGTTTCTAGTCATCAGCTTTGGCCAGAGTCCACAATGTGGCCCAAGGACAGCGGGCTTTAGTCTGCTGCATTTGTCTGTTTGTATAATTGGTCAAATATAAGGATGGATACCAGAATTTCCCCTCATATTGCCAACTCTGCCAAAGGTTTCCAGCTCTGACATGTCAGTGCCATCAGACATGGTTCACCTCTGAGGACCTGAGGGGAATCAGAATTTCTGTTTTATGCAGTCTAGAACGTTTTGAACATGTGATGCAAGTGTCTAATTTGTTAGTGTTCAAAACTCAAACAGTTCTTCTGTTTAGCTGTGAAAATATTGTATCTGCACTCTTCTCTTTTTAGCATTATGTTTTTATATTGTATAAGCATTCCCTGAAGTGTGCTGCATGCTCTCTGCATGTAGAAAATGTAGAAAGCATTTTATTGTTTGATAATTAGGAAGTGCACATTAGCATGCTAGTTATCATTAGCTTTACAGCTATGACAAAACTCTTTTCTGGTCTCTGAGATTTGTAAAAAAAAAATAATAATATTATTAGCAGGACTAATGGCCAACAGTTGCTAGATTCTAAACAATCACTACTACTAGTACTAGTACTACACTTCAACTACTATAAACTCATCACGGTGAATAATTAGGATGCTTAGAATGCGTATGGCAAATGAGGAATAACTTTAGCGTTATACAGATTAAAATAAATTTCAGTTTTTCACAGTTTTAAGACTGCACCTTTTTAGACCCTTTTTTTCTTTAAAGCACTTTAAAGAAAAATTTAGTTGAGTATAAAATGTAAAAATTTAAATGCGTATAAATCGTGCTTAGGAAGACCACCTGTCCCCTTTTTGTTTTCCTGTACAGCCATTTAGGCTCTTGCTCCTCATTAATCTCATTTAGAGAATGTCCTACTTTTTTCATTGATACTACATTATTATTATGAATTATGAAATTATAGAAAACATAATAAAACATAAAGAAATCAGGGCTTTCTGGGTACATATTACTATTCCAATCTCTCATTGCTATTAATATAAATCATGGTGTTGTTCCTGTTCTTATCAATGAGGCTACATTTTCCAAGTCGATCCCTCCATGTCCCATCACATGCCATTATTTATTTATTTTTATTATCTGAGGGCACCCTAACTTTACTCCTTACATAAACTCACCTTAGTGATTGTGTGACCGCTAGTGACCACTGTAACTGTAGTTGCAGTTACAACCAAAGTAACAGTAATTATTATGATTGTTGTAGCAGAGGCTTTAAAGTCAAGAGTCAAGGCCATGACACTGTGAACCATGTAGTTACCTAACAGAACAAGGAGTATTCATGGCAGCATTATTAGGGCATACGTGCCAACAGCGAATGTAGCAATAGTGACAGTTTCTTTTGCAATGGTACATTTAAGCATATAGAATGAATTGTATTTTTGCTTTAATATGTGAATTTTAGATGTAGTGTGTGCATGATCAGGATTTATCTCTAGTCACTTTTGATGATACTTATCTTTTCTTTCAAGGAATAAAAAATATTTGAAATGGTTCATATTCCTCTAATTGTGAACCCTCTGTTCTCTCAGATTTCTGGAACAGTAGATGATTAACTCAGCATAAATAGTGACTTTAGCCAAAGAATTGTGAAACACTCCAGCGGCCATGTTGGCACTTGCCCTTTGGTACCACTGATTGGCACAGATGTCAGTTTTCATCACTGAGCCATTATTGACACTTAAATATATTTCAAATTTACTTTTGTTTTTGTTGTTCATTTCACGATTTTGTTGTTCATTTCACTATTTTTGGCTCTTTTCCAAACCAGAAATCGAACAGTATTATCGTAAACATGGACTATTTTGGCTAAAGGTGCATTCCATACATTATGGACCTGTGGGAAAATGTTAAATGAATGTAATCTTCACTTAAAGAGTGAGTAGAATGAGTAAATTTTTGATTGGTAGACAATGTTTAGGTAGGCTTCTACATTACCAAATTTATGTTAGAGTAACCTGGTTGTATTGATATAATGTGTGAATGAAACTTTACTGGAAAAAGCTAACTAACGGTTTACACTAAATATTTACTTATCGATTTTATGCAGTTCAAGTAAAAACAGACAACTGTGTAAAAAAACAACATTTAATTATATTTCTATTGTTTTAACAGTTCATTGTAGTAACATATCACATTGCAATTACAGTCACATTCAGTCAAAATGCAGGGATTAAACTAAAGGATTGGGGGTTGTAAACACAGACTTAGTTATTAAACCTATTCTTGATCTTCTCAATCTGTTCCTGAAACCAGGTTCTGTGGGTGGAGCAGAGAAAGACAGTGTTAGGCAGTCACTTTAAATTAAATCTAATACTACTGATGATTGTGGACTTACTTTGCTTTCTGTACTTTTTCATTGTTGTTAAAGTCGTTCAGTGCGGCCTGTGCCCTCTCAAGTGCAGTCTTTCCAAACTCAGTGACGGACTGGTGAACCCGATTAAACCCGTCCTCCGCGGTATCATCTTGTGCCTCTGTGATATAAATATAAAATAACTTTAGCAAAAAACACACAAAATGTATTAAAAAACATTGTTTCTTTTAGTTAGTGTTAGTTTTACCTGTGTAGGCTACAAAAGCCAGCACCAGCACAGCAAGGGCCAGGTACAATTTCATGGTTGCAGTGATTTTCTAATGAAGACAACATTAGGGTAAAAACTTTGAAACTTTGAAATTTGACTGTTAACTTTATAATTTGTTTTGACACATAAAAAAAACAAAAAAAACTGTCTGGTTTTTAGTACATAAATTTTCAATAATGCTTCAGTTATGAGTTGACTTGATCTTACCGATTTTGGAGACAAGAGCAGAGGAGATCCAGCTGTGTTTGGTTTGGTTCTGTGGGTGTTCCTCTTTATAAAGCAGCAGCTTCAAAGAGGCAGACTCAAAGGCCAGTCTCAAATCAATATGTACACGTGGTGACCTCAGTCCAGCAGTTTCACCAATGAACAATGAGGAAGGCCAAAAAGCTTGATTATGATTTGAATACAGTCTCCTCTTAAGATGCATATAAAGATTAAATGATCAGATATGTTTATTTAGCATACATTTAATTGCTTGGAGGTGTATTTCTTGCTGACATGTCGGAATCTTCTTTCTTTAGGATTCAAAGTTTGTTCCTTGGCTGTGGTGATGGCATCTCAAGATAAGCTGTGATTAAATGTGTTAGCAGACACATGCTATTTGGAACCAACTTTGGACCTGTCTATGCTGTACTGTTGTGTCAGGCTGCTTTTAAGCTACTTTCAAAGACCTAGATAGCACCATTTGGCTGTGCATGTAGTTGACGATATACAATATGTAAACTACAGTAACCTCCTTAAGCTGGTGCCAAAAAGTCTGTTTGTAATTATTTTTCATCTTACAAACTGGCTAATTCTACAATAAATATAAATATGGTAAGTAGGTTAATCATAGATTAATAAAAATAAAAAAGAAAGCATGAGTGGAAACTAGATCCAAGCTCCAGGGCAGTTTTAACACTAGAGTTAGTGTAAGAGAGCCTACTGCTACTGCTTCTGATGGCACTATCCCATACCTAGACCTATGTCAATTTAAATAGAATTTTCATTTTCACCTAAAGATCTACAAATGTGAATATTTTAAACATCTTCATTTCAACTGCCATGTTATTTTGTGTCTATTATATTGAATGTAAAATGTTTTTGGTCAGAAGTCAGTTCTGATTCAGTATACAAAACTTGTTTAATTCCTGGGCCGTACTGAGCTCTATGATTTTACTGTATCAGTGCACACATTTGGCCACATTTTATATTGTGCTTTTCCACCTTGAAGGCACTCAAAGCAATTACTACTACTAGAGAAATACTTTGTTGTTGTTGATTTAATACATTTTATATTGACTTGTAATTACTAAATACATTAAAACTAAAACAAAGTTCAAATTGGTTTTCAACGGTACCACTGCTCACAAATCTGCTTTCACACCAGGCTGTCTGTCTCCAAACAAATGTTGAACAAAGTCATCAAGAGGAGCTTTGAACTCCTCAAAGACCCCAAAGACCCCACCTCTTTGTCACGAATGTAGTGCTGTTCTATGCATGAGCTTAATCTCCTTGCGAGTAATTGTCCCAGTCACGAAGTGTGAAAGTGCATATCCTGATTTGCAATAACAAGCTCCTTGACGGCTGTTTTTGTGTTCTGTAGATCCCCTGGAGTGAGTGGAGTTGTGTGCCAATTGTAAAGAGGAATAGAAAGAAGAACATGGTCTGATGTCTGGAGAGCAGGGGTGATGGAGTAGAGGTTACCAGCAGTCATAAATCTGCTAGCCAGCACCTGCAAATCTCTGTAGATTTCTTCTTTACAGAACAGCCAAATCAGTAATTCTGCAATGATGTGATGATTAATAGTCTCTAAAAACACTACTTCCTTTAACTTAGTAGCAGTTGAACAGTATGAGTCAGTGATCGACCTCAGGCAGTGCCCTTTCACACACTGAGAAAACAAAAACATGTTTTGACGGTAGGGCCTAAATTGAAACCAAAATGGTTCAATGTTGTATTAGCACAGAATAATAATACAATTCTTTTTTGTTTGTAAATCATATCTTATATTTCTTACTGACCTGGATTTGGGGCCAACACAAATAAACGTTGTTAAAGTTCTATTCAGACAATGTTTTAAGAAATTTTTCAGTGCTTTGTCTTTGTCTGTATTGCCCAATACCAGTCTAGGGATGGAAAATTACACTTATTTCCCTAAAACACACTTAACTTATTACAGATGAGATCCAGTTATGCGCAACTGTTGTTTCTCCTTCACATGACAACTGAAGAACTTCATGTGAATAAAAGTTTAAACATTATGAGATGTTCTGGGCCAAAATTTGCAAGAGAGACTTATTACATCCAATTAAAAGCCCAACTAGGATATTGATTGAACTGATATTATGGAACTGATACCCAATCCAGCTAAATTTTCAGTATTGGCACCGATATTTGATACCAGCACTGGTATCAGTGCATCCCTAGTAATTTTATTTGGTCACAAATAGGGGTGTGCAAAAATATTGGAATATCGATATATCGTATCATTTAATGTGATGATACAGTATCGATATCGTGGGCTGCTGTATCGATATATCACCAAGAGTATTTTTAGGTGTGTTTTACAAAATTATTTTGTTACAGAGCTAGAGTTTTGTTGCTTGTGGAGTGAAAGGAAGCTCAAAACATTTGACATTTTTACTGTTTTGACGATTAAAATGTCTGTGTTTCATATGAACTTTGCACAAGAAATGGTTTAACAAAGCCTTTTAGTATCACAGCCATGATTTAGCCTTTATTTTTTATTGAACGATATCGAATCGATTTGAAATATATCATATCTAATCGAAAGTGCACTGTATCGAGATATGTATCGTATTGTGGCCTGTGTATCGAGGTATGTATTGTATTGGCAACTTCTTAATGATACCCAGCCCTCGTCACAAAGAATCATGACAAAACACAAGACTTGTATTAACAGCACAGTCAGTTTATGTCTATGGTATCAGAATACACATCATCATGGGTTTTGGCTTCCTGTTTATAGGTGACATATTGACTTTTCACCATTAAAATGAAATTTTTTTTAACTGACAATTGTTATGGCAACTGCTTTTTTGGTGACACTGTATTTGGTGATGGTGCTAATTTGCACTCTCATTTTAAACATAATAATTATTGCAACTTAGTATGATGTTAAAGACAAGAAAAGTTGCATAATGCACCATTAATAAGGGCAGAATAACAAAAATGAAACCACTTACAAGTATGCAAATTTACAGCTAGTCATCTCTCTGGAAGCCATGGACATCTGTGTACATTTTGTGTAAGAAATAAGGTTGAATTATTTTGTGGTATACTGTACTGAGCTTTGCCCCTCCTTCTGACCACTGTAAACTTAAATGCTCTCTTAAAGAAAACACAGCTGCATGGACTCAAGTGGAGGAGGTCAGGGGAGAGGAGCCGCACAAGGGACAAATGGTGTCCTCTGCTGGCCCCAGATCTGCACTTCCCTCTCACCCTGCTGGCTTTACATAGAAACAACACTTACATGACCACAGTAACTACATAAAAGTATTTAACTGTAGTAAAATTACTCTTCTTAAGCTCTAAAAATGTCCAGTAAAATAAATACCAGGCACAGTAGGTAAAAAGTGCTAGCTAAGGTAGGTTGACCAAACCTAGCTCAAGATGTGGAGATGGTACCCACTGCATATGCCCAGCAGCGCTGAAGGATGGGTCAAATTCAGAGGACTAATCTTCCTATGTGTTTCCCTGGATAATTTTTAACATACAATAATTATGAAATGCAAAATGTAGTTGTCAAGTTAGTTATCTTGTTACTTCATAGTAGATAAGTAATATTTATTGTTCTTTATTACTTTATTATTAAACTTCTTAACTATTCATATCACTATCAGATCACCGTTATAATGTACCTTATGCAATGACAAAAGTCTTACTGGGTAAATGAAATTAAAAAAAGAATATTTTAATAGTTATTGTAATGTAGTGTTTTTTTTGTTTTGTTTTGTTTAAAGCGATATTGTGTAACTTTTTGGAGGTGGAAAATCCACTGCATGATTCCATGAAAATAGAAAGTTAAAACCCTACTTCAGAACATTCTCGGTACGGATAGTTTTATGATATACTGTGGAATATTATATTGTATCATACTTGAGGATGCAATAAACACATCCATAATGAAAAAAAGGTTTTACTTTCTGCAAATAAGTTACATACTATGGCTTTAAATGTGCATTGTTTAACTTTTCTAGTGGGGGGGTCTGTCACCTGCTTGTGTCTATGGATATGTCATTGCTCTGCCTGAAATGTTCCACACTGTGACATTCAACAGCCCTAGCTTACATTTACTCAGTTACAGGTGGTTTTATAACTCAAAAATGCCTAGAAAAACAGGAATTTGGAATGTGAGTGGGGTTGCCTCGCCACAGATCTTACATGTAACTTGATCTACTTTAGTTTCCATGAAGACTTAGTTTAATACCATCCTGTGAAACATTCCAGAAAAAGCATTAACATCTCCATGTACAAAAGCATTTGACAGACCCTCCGCCAGAAAAGTTACGCAATGCACCTTTAATGTACCTAGCAATTGCTAATGATTGGATAACAGCATTGCTTTAACTGTTACAGCATAAGTCTAAACATGTCTAAGATAGAACTCAAGTTTAATCGTCAATGGGATTCGTCGGGGGTCTGTTCAATGAAATTAGAGATAAAGAACAGGTCAGGACATGTATTGTAAGTATCACCCCTTATGTGATCTTCTTTAGATACTGTTTAGTTACATAACACACCCCAGGCTTTAAGATAATATTTTGTGACTTAGGCAACGCTTTTCTTTTTATCAGCAGTTATACGGGTTCAATTGTGTAAGAGTGAATAACCAGTGGGAGGCCCTGTGTGGGTCTGGTGTAACCTAGCCACCATTTAATAATAAATGAGCTTTAAAACATTGATTGAGAGAGACACTTTTGTTTTCTTGGTCCTTTATTCACGCAGCACTGTGCAGCACGGTGGACAATTGAAATACAAGGGACTCTCCAGCATATGTGAAGAAGGCAGCATCAATCTTAAAGGTTAAAATGCATTTCACATTTTACAACTATAAGAAATGGTCAAGATACATTCAGGCAATCATGTTTGTTTTTTTTGTTTTGTTTTTTTGCCTTTGTTGGGATATATTTTCAGTGCAGTCATTGAAATGATTTGACCCCTTAAGTACAATGAGGGGTTGGCTTGTATAAAAGTAAACAGTAGTAAAGCATACATTGAATTACATTGAAAGTGTTATTGCTTGAGGTACTTGTGTTCAGTGATTATGGGCGAATGTATAAGTAGTATAGTGATATAAATGCTACTTCAACCCACACTCCCTGTACACAAAAGCAACCATTAAACATATGATCAGTAACACATCAGTGGTTTTTGCATACCCCTGACTTAGTTGAAATGCCTTGTTTTAACAGTCTGTATTTACTGGGTGCTCTCCTTGAACTTCTCGCCGATGGTCTCGATCTGCTCGCGGATGCGGTCGGCGATGGGCTGGATGTTCTCGGTCAGTTTGTCCATGTTGCCTTCCAGAGCGGTGCGCAGGCCCTCCACGGTCTCCTCCATCTGGGTCCTGACGCTGGCGAATTGGCTCTCAAGAGTCTTTCCCAAACCCTCGGCCTGGCTCTGCAGAAGGGCGGTGATGTCACTCAGCTTCTGGTTGGCGGTCTCGCTGGCCTGCTGCACGTAGGGCTCCACCTGGCCGCGGACGGTCTCCATGTTCTGGGAGGTGCGGGACTGGATTTCACCCATGTAGTTGGTCACGGTGCTGTTGGGAGAAAGGCAATGGTTAGAATAAAAAAGTTCTATATTTGAAGGAAGAAAAATGGGGGAAATTTGGTTATTTATTTTTGGGGGGTTGTTGGTAGATTATTGATATGAACTGAATTAATGGTTTTGTCTCATTAGTTTCAGTAGTGAGTTTTTTCACTGTATGCCATGTTTCCTTTTAGAGATGGGCTTATTAGACTTCAGACTGTGGTGGGACTCACTTGACAATTTCCTCTGTGTCCTTGTTGAGACGTTTCTTCAGCTTGTTGGTGTAAGAGCTGATGCGTCCGCGCACGTCTCCGGTGTTCTGTTCGACCATGGTCTTGAGCTCGCCCAGGTACTCGGTGCTGCGCTCTTTGGCATCAAGCATGTCCTGCTGCAGGCGGCTGGTCAGCAGCTGCAGATCCTGGGCCATCTGGGTGGTGGAAAAATCAGCATAGGGGCTCAGCTTGGTCTGCAGGTCATCTTTGTAAGTGTTCAACTCGGCCATGGTGTCTGTGATCAGGGTACTGTGGATACAAGGGCACACATGAGCGAACAGGCTCACACTGAAGACTCATACTAATGAAGGGCTGTAGAACTACAGTTTCAGGGACTTACTCAAGCTCCCGGCTCAGCTGAGAGGCCTTGATGTTCTGCACCACACCATCAGCCTGCTGGTTCAGGTCATTGATGTGCTGCCAGAACCTCTCCACAGCATCCTGCCAGGCCTTAGGGGGCTCGGGCAGAGCACGGGCATTGCAGCCTGTGTGCAAGACACATGTAAGTTCAACATTCACCATGGGACATCTTTATGATATAGTATACCTATACATTTGTTTTATCTCCATGCCTGAGAGCAGGGTCATGCTGTCGTTCTTTTTTTCATGCACATGAACATCATCATTGTGGCTATTTAAAATTTTGCAATGCAGTTGAATCCAATTGTACTTTAGTTTAATCATTTTATATTTTAACTAGTGAAAAATTACAAAACTTTTTTTTTTTTTTCTCGAAGCCCAAAAGTAAGCCCATAAGACGTTATCACAAGAGGTGCTTTTACTTACCAATGACTGCAAGAGCCAGGATCAGAGCTACAGCCTTCATGGTTGATGGTCGAACAGATAACACCTGAAAGAAAAACGAAAGGACATCAGAATTCGTCATTGTTTTAACTAGTTATGTTCCATGGTGAGCCGCGTGTAGCGGTGCTCAGAGCAGCGCCATCACTCACCTGAGAGGAATGCTCCGTGCTCCCTGCGCTCCCCCTGCGCGCTTATATACAGTCCCGCGGAGAGGAGAGCGGGGGGCTGGGTGAGCGCATGAGGGGTTGGCCCACGGAGAGCGGGGGATGATTAGTTTGCTGAATCCTGTTTCCACCTCACGCTATGCCACGATGATTGCGCGGTGACGGACAGCGTGGTCACGACGTGTAACCACTAAACTTTCACCTCAAGTGTTGTAATTCAAACTGCTAAATAATGAAAACCGCATTTATACGAATGTCCATTGAGCGTATATTTCACTTGTTAATAATAGCTGGCATTATCAAACTGGGGGAATACGTGTCCTATAACTATTTATTTCTGTTACTTTTAAAACTTGCTGTTACATTGGTCGTTTTTCTTACTGTAGGGGTGCTTTTCTCAAATTACATTGAAACTACAACTTCCCCATTACGCACCCTGATAAAGCATCTGTTATTCATATGCCTGTGTCCAAACACTGGTTTGTGCGCCGTTAGTGAATAGGATTAGTATTTCTTTCGCCAGAGGACATACGGATTAAAAAACAAAAAACAAAAGAACTTTTAATTGTTATTATTTAACCACGTGTGAATGAGTTAAGTAAAACAAGATGAATGGGACCATTTGGCACCAAAGCGCTGATACGACTGAAGCTTGGGAACTGTAGGTTGAAAAGGCATTTATGACTTTTCACAGTCATCACAGTGTGACTTTTTGAGGCTGAGTTTGTCTCTTGAATCTTACCCCTTTTCAGCTCTGTTAAATACAGTTCAGTTCTTTCTGATGTGCCATGGCCCATGGCCCATGGGGGGGTTGATCCATCATTCTTCTCCACAGGCCTAAGCCTAAAACCTTTCTGATTGTATGCTGTGTCCTAATGCACTTTCATGTACTATTTACAATAGTCCCTCCTGTAAAATACTTATGTCGGCATTCACTAACTTGTTTATGTTATACCCGGCTTCAGCTTGTCCCTGTGCTGAAGTGAGGCCTTATTCCTGGTAGCGGAGAACACAGACTGGGCATGCAGTGGCATGACTGAGAACTGTACGCCCACCATAGAAAGAAGGATTATAGGTTATTACAAATGTGTGTGGACGCAGACTTCTACCTCAAAACAAACAGGGCCAGTGTGAACAGTGTGAACAGTGCATTTACAGAAGAACAAAATTCCCAAGTTGGGAAAGTAAAGGGGGGAAGTGTGTTGAGTAACGCGTTTACTGCCAGGATCTGGTGTGTTGTTTTCACTGATCTACATCTCCATAACAAACACTCTCCTCTGCCCCTCCAGGATTAGCCTTTGTTATAGAACGGCCCTAATGGTCCAACAAATGCCTCTCTACCCAACCACAACTAATTCAAATATCTACATTCAAAAGACCACTCCATTTTCTCGCATTTGAGAACAAAGCCCTTTTCCCGTGGTATGTATAGAAGATACAAATCAACAAATTATTTATAGACAGAAAACAGACTCCACATGTATTACTATCTAGTCTCTCCACTCTTCCACAGTGCCCCTGGGCAGTTGTGGCTGCCGTGGGGCTGATCAGATTGTTAAGTACTGCTTTACCTTTATAACACACTACAGAGTCACACTGGCTGGGTGCTCTGCATGGATGTTCATGAGGATATTGTTGGATAGTGTCCCTCTGAGGTTATCACCACACAGGTCCTGTTATCACACTGTCACTATAATTACAGTTCAGCCAACACATGTACACTTTGCCCTGTGTGCGTCGTGTGCAGTCACAAGTGGGTTTCAGTGCAGAGGTGGACGACAGGGCAACAAGTCTAAAGACGTAAGCAAGCACTTTGTGTTAGACTGTTGATGAGTAAGGTAAAAACAAAATATGCAAGAACAACATGCAACCTACGTCAGCTTTGCACTACTTCACACGCATGATGGCTTTTGCTGCTGATGGAAAAGTAAAATTTTAAATCTTATACCAAAAATGACTATAATTATGTATACTTGAAGCATTCTCTAGCAGTTATAATGTAACAATACAGCCAGTTCAAGACAGAAAGTAGTAGTTCGTGAGTTCATTTCCTTGCAATTCAGTGTCAGCATTTTGCTTATTCTGCACAGAAAGTAGACAGGGAAATAAGACGCATGAGATCATACAGTACTGCCAGCCTCCAACACAATTAGTCTAAGAGTCAGCCAAAGGGTTATTGTCGGTTAGAGTTTACATTGTAACACTGTTTCTGGTTCATGTGGATAACGTTAACAAAAGCAAAACAAGTGGTGAGTCACAGAGAGGTTACTGCAGTGAAGGCAGAGTGTGGGTTAAAAGCCGGTGAACCGAGACTCCCACTCACCGGCTCTGAGTCAGGTCTATCAGCTGATGGAGAGGTTGATGGATGAGTTTAGTGTGGTTTTAGATCTGGGAGGATGCAGGACTAAACAGGACTAAGGCTGAAATTGTGCTGGAGGTCAAATGTTTGTATCTGTTGTGCGAATGGTTACAAATCTCCATTGGTTTACTGAAATTGAGAGAGAACAGGAATTGCACAGGGTTGTTGCATAATAAAGAATACTGATGAATTTGATGTAGACTGTAACTTTGTAAGAGGCGAAAAATTGAGCCCCTGCCAACCAGAAGGTAGCCGTTCTTAACTGCCTGTACATTGTAGATAGGGCATCATGCAAAATTGAGTTGAGTTTTGAGTCACGCTATGTTGTTACCTCCTCAACAACATACCTGGAATTATGTTTTGTTTCATTCCCACATGTTTGAGTAACCCTTTATTATTAGTCTGTCTGCACCTTCTAAGCTGAAAATCCTCTGTTCCATGAAGCGGTAATTTTCAAGTTAACAGCTGCCTTTTACCTTTTCTTCAGTAGATATACACAATTCCAGGGCTGAAATTATCCACATGATTCTAGTGAAGGTGTATGGCTTTTAAAAACACAGTGGAGCAGTTCCTGTATTACCACATGACATCACAAGGTGGAACAAAATGTTTTCTGTTTGAGAGAGGAATACAAGAGGAAATATGCAGGATTTGTGTGTTAAACATGTTTGAATGAAACAAAACACAACTCCAAGTATGTTTGTAAATGAGGAAACAACATTATAACAGAGATCAGGAAACAGTGTAATATGGGCCTTTTAAATACTTGCCAAATCACTTCAACAGCCTGGAATGTCCCACAGTGAGATTAAATTTATCTCTCTCCTTGGAGATAAGTAGGTGACGACACTAGACCAAGTTACGGGTCAGATCTATGGAGAGGTGACTCCGCCTACACACATACAATGTATGTTTTTCAAGGTACTTTTTTTTTTAGCAATAAAAACATCTACTGTGAAATGTAAATGTGTTTTATTTAACCAAGAAAGTCCCACTGAGATTTTGAATATCTTTATATATTTTTTCCTTAGAGTCCTGGCTCCAGGGATGAACGTGCCAACTCCACAAAGAGAGGCCCACACCACCATAGAGTAGAACCCAGCACGTTCTCTCTGGAACATTACAGGTAAATCAAGCTCCGCGGAGACAAGCAGGAAGCAGATCCACACTATACAAGTTATATAGTTCAAGATTAACAAAAAGATAAACTAAACATTTAAAAAAAATCTTGAATGAAACCAAATTGTGTAAATGGCTAAAATTGCACACTACCATATATTAATTGTGCAGTGGGTTGTCAAAAGTATCGAAAATCAGGTACGAATCGGCAACAAAACTAGTACAGAAATTAAATACTCATATGAGCAGGTATTGCTATTAAAAAAAAAATCACACTGACAGTACACAAATGAACCTTTCCTGAATAACTTTAGAATGATCATGAGCTGTATCAGAACAAGTCGCAGACCACATAGACTAGGACATACCAATGGACCACTATGGAACATACCTAGATGACTGATGGATTACATAAACATAGATTATTTAATTATGTTGGCTAAATAGAGTTTTTAATTTTCATCATGGCATTGGAATCGGCATTGAGTATTGAATCTACTCCTACTTTGTATCAAAATCAAGTTGAAAGTTTAGTATCGTGACAACACTACAGCAAACTACCATTCCCCGAGGCCTTGAAATGACTGGGGACATGGGAGCTGTGCCTGTAGGGTTAACAGTGAGTGGAGTGGCTGAGGAATGTTGTTTGCCACTGGGGTAAAGCTACAGTGTGAGAGCCATCTGGCAGCTCTGACGGGGCACACAAAGAAAAAGTGAACAAAACAAGGTGAGAGTGGGACGTGTTTATGATGAGAGCGCCTGCAGCAACAGACGTCAACATGTCATTTCTAATAAGAACAGCTCAGTGGTACAGGGGGCGGGGCCGAGAGGCAGTGGCACATTTCGTAAGACTGGGCGTACTCGCTGTTAAAATTCTGAGGTGTGAAGTTGAGATGAACAAAAACTACTGTACTTTCATGTTGAAATACTGTACTTATCCTGTATACATAATATTTTTGTAACATTATAGTTTTACTCTACTCAGACTACTTTATGTGTGTAGTATTGTATCTTATTTTATTATTACTCCATCTTGTGTCTTGATTTTTTTGTAAATATATTTGATTCTTCTTCTTCATAAAGTTAAATTATTACTCCTGACAGAATATTTTCATTTTTCTGCAGTTTTTGTATTCACTTGCATTTACTTGGGTCACTTTTTAAGAAATTATCCTTTTCAAAGTATTTTTCTAGCAGACCTTTGCTCCCACTAAGTAATATTTTTACTGAAGTAACAGTACTCTTACTTAAGTAAATATTTTGGTTACTCTTCCCACTGTGAAAAAGTGTGCAAGTGACAAAAGCTTTTTTGACCACATGAAATTATTTGTGTGTGTGTCTTTCTAAAAAATTATTATTTAATATTATGTCCTTCCAGTTACATTAACTTCAAATTATAAACCTCACCATATGTATTTAAGTTACTCTTACTTGAGTAGTACTTTTTCCAAATACTTTTTTACTATTTTTTGAGAATATTTTTGGACCACCACTTTGCACTTCTACTTGAGTAATATTGTTATGTGTTTATTATATTATTACGTTACTCCTACTTTTGTACCTAAAACATTTCTCCAGTTGACAGAATTACATTTTTCATTTTGTTATGGATATTCAGTGTTGGGGAGTAACAGATTACATAGTAACCAGAGTTACGTAATCAGAGTACAAATTATGAGTAACTGTATTCAGTTACAGTTACTGTTTCAGTGAGTGGTAATTACAGTTACTTTGTTGAAATAAATGGATTACACAGAGGTATTTTCCTGTTTTCACATTATTTTTATTTATTTATTTATAAATTTTTTCGGTAATTCGACTCATTGCTGGAAACTAAACCAGGACTAAAACCAGATCTAAACTAGAGCTAAACCAGGACTAAACCAGGACTAAAACCAGGTCTAAACCAGGTCTAAACTAGATCTAAACCAGGACTAAAACCAGGTCTAAACTAGATCTAAACCAGGACTAAAACAGGATTTAACAGGACTAAACCATGCTGCGCGGAGGTGTCTCCTCTTCTTCTATCAATAATATTTTTAATATGGTTAAGTATCCTCGCCTTTGCTTCTCTACAGCAAATCAAGTAATCCAAAGTATTCAGATTACGTTACTCACTTTAAGTAATTTAATGGATTACGTTACAAACTACATTTTGGGGTATGTAATCTGTAATCTGTAGGGGAATACATTTTAAAAGTAACCTTCCCAACACTGTGGATATTAGACTGACGGATTACACAGACCTCTTACTTGAGTACAATTTCTGGCTACTCTAGGCACCTCTGGTTTTATGTCAGATGCCTTACCTCACCTGCCTGTAGGAAAAGATTTTATTGCGGATCTTGTTTGTAATATTCCTTATTGCCACAAGGTATACTTTTATGTCATTGTAGAATATCTTATATAATGTTTTTTACTAGTGTTACAAATTTAGAAGTCATCACCTTGAATAGACTGCAATTCAAACTTTGCTTATAGAAAGTTTATGTGTCTGTGTTTCTCAACAGAAATGACACAGAGCCAAACTGTGTGAATACAAAAAAATTAACTGTAAAATAATAAAAATGAAGTAATGTTGTAAGAGAAAAGTAAGAGAATTTAAAGAAATAGTTACTCAACATTGCCCAACAGGTGAATAGTTGCCCCTAGTTATTGTTCAAATGTATTGCACTTAATTCATTATCTCATCAGTAACAAGTAAAAAACTACAGAGCACATCCACACACAAGAAGCCACTGTTTATAATTAATTTTATTTATAGCGGAAATCCTAACACATGAGGTCAAAGGTTTAGCTGGGGTTACTTGGTGTTGGCTGTTGACATATTGTATACCGGATTATTTATTGTCAGTTAGACGCAGTTCTTTAAAGACAGACGGTTTAGTTGGACTTGACGAAGGAGTCGTAGAGTTCACTGAGGCGGGTCTTGAGGTCCTGGGCATATGGGTCCAGCTTCTCCCTGAGGTCATCCACGTAGGGGGCAGCCAGCTCCTGCACCTGCTTGGCGCGCTCAGTCAGCTCCGTCTGCACCTTCTCGGTCATTGGGGCCAGGTTCTCCTTGAAGTCCTGGATTTGTTGGTCCACTTTGACTTTGAGGTTATCGGTGTAGGGTCCCATCTGAACCTGCATGTCCTTCACGATCTGCTCCAGGTTGGTCTTGAGTTCCTCGCTCTTCTGCATCAGGGTGGCTCTCATGCCCTCTGCATCCATGGAGTCGACGAAGGGGGTAATTTCAGCCTTGAGCTGCTCCACCTTCTCCTGGATTTGGGTCTTCATTTGCTCGGTATAGGGCACCAGCTCGTCTCTGACGGAGCTGAGTTCCTGGGCCACGCGCTCCCTCAGTACATCGGCCTCGGTGGTTACCTTAGTGATGATGTCCTGGGCGGCAGGGGGCAGCTGTTCCTGGATGGAGGTGGCGTATTTGCTAGCCAGGTCGGCGCTTTCGGTGAGACGGGCACTGCACAAAAGAAACAGAACAATGATGGTTGATTAATTTAATTCTACACAAATACATGAACTGTGTAACCAACTGTGAAGTGTCTTGCCAAGGAACACAACAATTTGCACATAGATGAGGTTTGGACCGATTACACTGGAGTTGGTGGATGAGAACTCTAATACTGCTCTGAAGGAATGCTAGTCTTGCCTGATTTGTTTGAGGCTTGAAAAAGCCAGAGCCAAAATGTGAAACGTGTTTAGAAGATACAATATTATTGCAAAAGAGATTTTAATTACCAGATACCAGAACCCTGTCAGAACTGAAGAAGCTACTTGGATGAATGGACAAACATATTCACTCTTTAATTACAATTTGCTATAGAACATGCCTGGACGGCTGAGAGATTACACAGGTAACATAAAATATTACTATTCAAGTCCACTTTCAAGTCATTCACCATGCAAAAATGTTGTCAATGTAATTTGCAAAGACTGATTCTTATTGTACCCCACCAACTCAAAATTCATTAGATTTGTGAAACATTAAGTGACTGTTCTGTCTACATTATCACAGATAAACAGTAATTCTTTATCTGTTTCTCATAGGCTCCACTGGCTCACCTGACTTCCTGTCCAAACTGAGAGGACCTGATCATCTGGAGAGTATCATCGGCGGTCTGAGTGGCCTTGCCCACATACTCCCAGAATGCATCATTCAGCATCTCCAGCTGAGGCTTGGGGGCATCAGCGTACAAGAGATTGGCATTACAGCCTGGTGGATGGAGATGAGGTCAGTTAAAATACAATGTAATGAGAGAAAAGGTTATTCGTCAGTATTCTAAAAAAGTCTATTGTCTATACGTTACATTAACTCAAGTATATTTACTTGAGTATTTGTACTTTTGAGCATACTTTTCTGGCAGTTTACTCCTTCTTGAGTTATATATTTTTAGAGAAGTAACTGTACTCTTACTTGAGTATACATTTCGGTAAATCTATAGTGACAAAAGCTTTACGGTAATGTAATATAGTTTTTGGTCTGTTCCTAAAATATCAAATTGTTATTAATTATTTAATATTTTGGCTAATTTAATAAACTTCAAATTATAAATAAGATGCTATATCGAGTTACTCTTTTTTAAAATTCTTACTTGAGTAGTGGTTTTCCCAAGTACTGTTTTACTGTTACCTGAGTCATTTCTTGGACCACTACTTTGTATTTGAGTAATACTAAGTTGAACAATACTTTTACCTGAGAAAAATTTTAGGCTGCTCTCTATAATTACATTCACCATCTGTTTGACTGTTGGCTTATGTCACTATTTTCACTATATTAATTGTACAATTTGTAGACTATATTAGACAATAAAGTTATTCAGTGGTATAATTGTATCTCACCAGTGAAGACGGCTAGGACGAGCACAACAAGGACCTTCATGGTTAGACCTGAAATTAAGATACGGAAAAATACATCAACAAATCATCAAATCCAGAAGCATCCAAAAGCATCCAAGAGTGTTTACTTCTGATCTACCACTACTACTGCTGCTTACCTGAGTTTGCAAATGCTTTTGCAAGTCCGCTAGGCAGTGCTTGTGAAGTGGAGGTGATGTCCTGGGGCTTTTATAGTGAAGCGGACACTTATGATCCCAAAGTCCAGAAGATAGTGCTTTGCTGTCACTCGGCCTCACCCGCAGTGACATCTTGCGCCAGAAATTGATAATGACCCACTAATACTCAGAGCTGGTCAAAGTACTGCATTTCATTACTCAAGTTAATGTCCCTATATTACACAGAATTTACTTTTTGAGCTTTTAGCCGTGTTGTACTGTTGTTACCCCATCAAAAACATACCTGGAGTTGTGCTTTGTTTCATTCACACATTCCAATCCACCTTGTGATGTCATGAAGCTATAGTTTTACAGCTACCTTTTATCTTTAGTTCAGCAGATATTGGAAATTTCAGGGCTGAAATCATCCAAATGCTTCCAGAGAAAGGATATGGAGTTTAGAAATGCAGTAGCAGTTCTTGAATTACCACATGACATCACAAGGTGGAGTGTTTTCTGTTTGGGAGAAGAACACAGCCTAAATATAAGGGGTTTGGGTGTTACATGTGTGAATGAAACAAAACTCCAGGCATGTCTTTGATCAGGAAACAACAATATAACATAGATCAGAAAATAGCATAATATGGGCCCTTTAAAGTAAAGAGTTACCTGGTCAAATGATGTTCAAATACAAGTAAAAGTAGCAATGGCAAATAATTAATTAAGTATTGAAGTATTTGCTTAGCAATAAAGCAATAATAAGTCAACTCAGAACTTGTTAGAACTGCAGATATTTTCAACAGACTCTAAAATAGATTAAAAGTATGTCACAAAAAACTGACTAATTAGTAATATTGTGCCCAGTGCCTGCAACCTGTACAGGGGCAATCCTTGTTTGTTGTAAGTATGTAACAGCATCTCTGGAGTGAGCATCATGAGGCTTTAAATGGGACACAAAAAAAAAAAAAAAACATGGAAAACTCCTCCACCAAAATACTTTATACTTTTTTTTTTTTTTTTTTAATAAATGTAGTGAAGGATGGAACAGTTCTCTAACTTGACTATAAAATGTGGCTACTCTTCACAAGTTTACAGTGACAAAAGCTTTATGATAATGAGATTTAGTTTTCCTCATTTTGGTCTATCCTTTGAAAATATAAAAAAGTTTTGTGCCCACAATTTGTGCTCGTGGTCTTTGGAGTGAGAATCATGAGCCTTTAAATGGAACAAAAAATGTGGAAAACTTCTCCACCAAAATATTATTTACTTGGAGACTTTTTTTTTTTTGTAAATATAGTGAAGCATGAAACATACACCTGATGTCATGTCTTTTAACTTCTATAAACTGTACTAGACTGTCTGTAGTAAAAAGACAACTAAGCTCTATATCAGATTTTTATTACCAATCCTAAAGTAGTTTTTTCTTTTCTTTTCTTTGACATATTTTACTGTTTTCCCAGTAATAATCTCTTATAATATTCATTAACATTATTAGCAATGGATCTGGGCAATAAATGTTGCGTAAATACTAACTAGTAACTGAATAACTACTGGCTAAATAATACTACTATTTTGTGATTGATAAATATGTGTTAAAATGTGTGTCTTTGTGTATTATGATTTACAGACTTGTTCATTTGACCATTGCTTTCTGTTTTATCACTGGTCGGAAAATACACGGTCCCTCCTTATGCTTTGTTGTAACCATTGATTAGATATTGGCAGGTATGTGTTTTATTGTGGCTATTGCCCTGTGAGTAGCCAAGTTTGTCATAGACACAGATCAGTAATTTCATGCCAAGTTGCAATAGTTTGCTGTCTGGCCAAAGGTTATTGGACTTGCATATTGTAAGTTCTTATAGGACAAAGTTACAGCCACATACAGTGTACAGGTCAGAAATGTGAGCATGTGATGTGGCCTGGAATGACAGTTGTTCTATAAATACACATGTCCTTAAGTCAATTGTGTCACCAGTTAGTTTATTATTTAGTTTACGGAAATTAAATATGAAAATTAGAGTCTTAAAGAAATAAACTTTTAATCTTAAAACATTGGAACAGGTCTATAAAACAAATAAAGATATAGATTCTCTTTCTTGTTTCAGAATTTAAGTCTTATCTTTTCAGCCCTGTCCTGATAGCGTCACTGACTCACTTTGATAAATTATTTTCTATCATTTCCTACATATGCAACTATTTCACACTAGATACAAATCAAATCTGCATCAGAACTTATTTCTAATGGTCTCTTCTTCTATTCAAAACATGCAGAATAGGTAAAGGTATGGTACAGTTATGGTAGTCCTGACCAAGGTTTGCTCTCCAAAAGAAGCACTGCAGTTTAACTTACACAAAATGTATTGATCCACCAGGGAAATTATTTGGACACAGTAGCTCACACGTCACAGTTATTATAATAACAAAGAGCAACAATATAAATGGCAACAATAAATTCAAAATAAGTAGCAAAACTAACAAGATATTGGTGTCAAATAAGGTATAATTATACAAATGTATATGTACAAGTAAAAATAAATATAGAAATTTAGTAAACAACAAACAGAATAAGGCTGCCATAGCCTCACTGAAGCCTCATCGAGGGTTGGGTCAAATTCAGAGGACAAATTCCACTATAGGAGATCAGTAAAGTGTGCCTTAACCTACTTTTACCTTTCAACTACTACCTACTTAGCAAGAAACTAATCATGCAATGCATGTTGCAAACCTTCCTATGAACTAATATACTGTGATGGATGAAGTCACTCAGTTTTGTTACTTAAAAAAGTAAAATGTCTCACATGAAAAAATCTACGAAGTAATAGTATTATGTATAAAAGTATTAAAAAGTAGTATGTGTTTAGAAATGTACTTTAAGAGTAAAAAGTATTTAGCAGAGATTTAGAACAATTAAAGCATCAAATTTGAAAATGTTTTTGAGATTTTGAAAAATAATTTAGCTAATTTTATACTATCCTTCCTTTTATTCTATCCTTCAATTGATTTATACAAATCAGTTGATTGATTGATTGATTGATTGACTGATTGACTTCAATTGATTATACAAATCAATCTAAAATAGAATACCTCTACTACCTCTGTCATCAACACTGAAAATTCCATCCAAAATGCATGGATAATTTACCTGAAAGGTATTTCTCTGACAGTTTAAACAACCATTTAACAAAATAAGTTGTTGTCTTTATTTATATCAAGATTGTCATTGCTAGGTAACAGTTGCTGCCAGGAAGTAAAAAAAACAGTAAACTGTTTTTCAGTAAAATCTTAGACTAAATATAATAATGTTACCTGTTTTAAAATGCAGTGTAATAAGAGAAAAGCTTATTCTTGAGTATTCTTTTTTCATCTTGGCCCTACATTTTAAGTAATCAGATTTTGTGAGTTAGAATTTTTTAAATAATTTCATGTTTTGCCCTTGCAATTTCCTAAAATTCTAATTATAAATCAGATATAAATAAAATAAATCAGATGTCATTCTTTTTGTTAACTCTTACATGAGTAGTGTTTTTTCCAAATACTGTTTTACTCTTACTTGGGTTATTTCTAGGACCACTCTTTGTACTTGAAATAAACTAACTTAATAACTAACTTACTTACTTATTTTACTTACTTTACTCTATTTCTTCTTGAGTTATATTATTTTGAAGTAACAGTACTCTTACTCGAATACATGTTTTGGCTACGCTACCCGCCTATGTTGTACAATAATAAGGATCTTCAACTCTATTGTTACTGTTAAGTTAACTTTTACTATATTAACCATACAAATGTGACTGTACTTATTGTTTTTTTGTTTTTTTTTTTCATTTTTGTAAAATGAGTAGTCCAATCCAATCATATGCACTTTGACCTTTGAAATACTAACTTAAATTTGAAGGAATCTTACCAAGAAACTAACCCTGACATACTTGAGAACTCAGAAAATCCTATAAACTAATGTATCAACAAGGAAATTTGGAGAACATTGGCAGCAGTTTTTTTTTTTTTTTTCTAGAGTCACTTATTAATTGTTTCAGTGGAAAAAAAATATTATCAGGTGTGATTGTCCTTGCGATGGCTCATACTAGTCCATTCATGTTCGCTTGACCTTTAACAAAGTCCATTAGCAACACCAAAGGTTATCTTCAGCTATCTGTAGACACTTAGTCCTGGAATATGTGGATCTTAATTACTCTGCTTAAGGCAATATGTCAGGGCTATTTACTCTCCATGTTATCAGATAAGTCCAACCTTCTACTTGTATTGTGACTGTTCAATATATCTTAATACCATTGTTATAACTGTCTGGTGTACAGTGACATCAGTGGTCATGTGACCTGGCAGAGGGAAGGAGTATCTGTGACAACATGGAAGGGACTAGTGGACTTTGGGCCTGAGCCTACAACTCTCATGCGGTTTTACTATATAAACACAAAAGCACCAGCCCAACTCATCACAGACAATCTTCACTTCACACTGAGGAGCAGCCAAGGCTCAAACAGGTAAGATTTGAACACCATTTTGAAAGCCATGAAAAATTGAAGGAAAGCTGATGTTAAAGAATTGCTATGTTTTCAGATCAACGCAACAATGAAGGCAGTTTTGTTCCTAACCATCGCAGTGATCTCTGGTAAGAAAAAAGTTGTGCTACATTTTTTATCTCATCAAAATGTGTACAAACTTAACTTTATGTTCACTGTCTATAGGCTGCAATGCCAACTTCTTCTACGCCGATGCCCCCAAGCCCCAAATGGAGGTGCTGACTGATGCCTTCTGGGACTACATCGCCAAGGCAACCCAGACTGCTGATGACACGCTGCAGATGATAAGAAAGTCTCAGCTCGGAGAGGAAATCAAGTAAGTGATATGATAGGGCTGAGGGGCTAGTTCAGTTAGGGACACCATGGCAATGTTTGAAGTGACTAAAGAAGTAGACCATACATAAGACCAAAAACACAGGATAACAAACACTATATATACATTAAAGATTTTGTGTTTTGTTGTATAACTACACTGAATGCACTGAATTTACCACTCTAATAGGCCTGCGTAAGGTCTTCAAATACTTAGTGCTCTACAAATACGTCAGAAATATTTTCATTGACCCTGACCTCTGAAAAACAAAGTTATCCATAAACAAAGCAAATTGTTTTAGTGCTTTGTTGAGAAGTGCTTTTAAACTGTGAAATTCTATACACTCTGTATACTGTAATGCCCATAATACTTTATATAGAAGAACTAAATTTTTAGTATTTATAAATGTTGATTGACCTTACATGGTAGACAGAAATTTTTTTTGAAGGCTGTGGATCCAATACAAGCTAAAAGAGTTAGTCAAATTCTCTTGACCAAGATCTGGACATGATTAACTTTTCTGGTTGAAGGATGGTCCAAAAGTATATAAGAACAAGAAAGTCCTACCACCTGAACCCTAACCTTATCTGATGTTATCTTCTAGTGCCCGATTGATGGAGAGTGCAGATGTTGCCAGCAGATACGCAGTGACCATCCAGGAACAACTGCCCCCTGCTGCCCAGGACCTCATGACCAAGATCACCAGCGAAGCCGACAATCTCCGAAACGTTCTTACCCAGGAACTCAGCACTGTCCGCGGCCAACTGGAACCCTACACCGAGCAGATGAAGGTCCAAATCCAGCAGAAGGTGGAGCAGCTCAAGACTGAAATGGCCATCTACGCTGACTCCCTGGACTCTGAAGGTCTGAAGTCCGCCTTGGTGCAGAAAAGCGAGGAACTCAAGGCTAACCTGGAGCAGACCGTCAAGGATTTGCAGGCTCAGCTGGGACCCTACACCGACGACCTCAAGATGAAGGTGGACCAGCATCTCCAGAACTTCCAAGACAGCGTTGCGCCCATGACCGAGAATGTGCGTCACCGTGCCAGCCTGGTCAAGCAGATGGTGGCCCCCTACGCTGAAGATCTGAAGGAGAAGCTTGACCCATACGCACAAGATCTCCAGTCTCAGCTCATGTCTCTGTACCAGTCCTTTGTAGACTCTAACTAAAGAAAGATATAGACATTCCACATTCAATTGTCCCCATCGTTACCATGACGCCGGCTCTGCTTGGTCTACCTCTGCTTGAAACATAACGTGATTCAGATTTGTGAATTGTACTGTAAAGCAAAATGAAAGGCCCGGATATTTATTTCTATGAAGTGCACGCATTGTTAAACATCTGTGCTTCCAAAATGTATATAAGTTTTTACTGAGATGGAAAATGTGTGTTTTGTAATTGCTCTAAGTTATCAAAATAAAATAAAAAGAGAAATCTGAAAAATGTTGCATGTTTTTTTGGCACAGAATAATACTCAGTGCACCTTTAAATCATATTATATCTATGTAACGTCTGGTGGAAGGTCTGCTGCTGGTCTTGTTATTGCTTTGAAATGCTCCACAGTATGGCATACAATTTATCTGTATCCATGGAGAAAAGCAGGACATGCAAGTAGGCCAATTTACAGGTCAGATCTATGGACAGGTGACCCCACTCAGAGTAAGAATGAATGTTTGTCAAGATATATTTTGGCAATAAAAATCCTCTAATCTAATATAAACAAATAGAACAGTTTGAGACCATACTGTGGCACATATACTGCAAATTAGGAACATCTCTATGAAACAAGTCTCCACCAGAAATGTTACGCAGTGCACCTTTAACAAAGCTACATGTTCCTGTAGGTGTATCTTAATCCACATCTCCTCAGGATCTCCCATGTCAGGGCACGTTCGAGATCACGCCACCGTTTTGCTCTCAGTTTCTCCTGACGCAAACTTTTGTTTTTACCTTTTCCTGTCTGCACTTGCCTTGTACATGGCTTGGGTCAAGTATCAAGTGGGGCAAAAACAAGATTCATTTAAACTAATTGGGCGTGATATTTCCAGTATTTTAACAATATAATAGTTATATAGATAGTTCTATTTAAAAAACATATACGTGATGAGTGAATTCATTGTTGTTAGGTTGAAAATAAAAATTGTATTGATTTTTTACACCAAGGCCTGACCTCACCTTTGCCCCATTGACAAGCCAAACACCTCCAGCGTGGAAGTTCAGAGTCCAGTGCCAACAGTACAGCAGCGTGCGTAAACAGGAGACAATAGACATCTTTAGTGCCATGGAAGGAATTACTAAAGGTAATAAATGCAAATAAGGAAACAGGTTAAGTGTTGCTTTGTGCCTTCACAGTAGTTTTTTTTTTTTTTTTTTTATCTTTAGTCCAGATTAGTCCTGTGTTTATCATTTCTGATCATCATTTCAATTGCCTAATTTGAATCAGTTTGATAGACACACTTTTTAAATGAGAAAATAAGCCTCAGAAACCTCAGAAAGAACAGAGATCTCAGCCAAGGTGTTACTTGTGACTGGCAAATATAATAAGACATAGTTTAGTGTTATTCTTCAGAGCTTTATTTTGTCCTGGTGTAGTCCTTATGGTTTGGTACACAATTTACATAAAATACAAACCAAACTACAAACTCCAGACATATAGATTAAAGGCGCACTATGTAACTTTTGCTGGTGGAGGTTCTGCCAAATGCTCATCTACTTGGGAATGCTTGGAATGATCAAGACTGTAGTATTAAACATATTCATCCTTATTGTCATCCATGGAGACAAGTAGTGATGCCGCCAGGTCATGCTGCAGGTCAGAGCTATGGAAAAGCAACTCCGCTCAGAATGCATTTTGTATTTTGTTTCATTCACACATGTTTGAGTAGCAGTAGTAGTAGTAGTAGTTTTCAAGCTACCTTTTACCTTATGTTCAGTAGAGGTTGGAAATTCCATGGTTGAAATTATCCAAATGATACTGGTGAAGGTATATGGAGTTTAAAAACACAGAGGAGCACTTCCTGTATTAGGTGGGACAAAAACACTGCCCAAATATGCAGGGTCTGTGCGTTAATTGTATGTGAATGAAACAAAACAAAACCCTAGTTATGACATATATTAAAAAACAACAACAACGACAACAAAAATGGCGTAATACGGTCCCTTTAATTTAGAAATTGTTTTTATTCTCGATTTTCTCCTGCATGAAACCTGACTCACCTCTTCACAAATCTGACCTGATTTAAAAAGATTTAACTTTTCAACACTGCAAGTCTCAGCCTGTAGCTATTCTAATTAACAAGTGTGTGGGCACCAGGCAGCACCATTATCAGTCAAAACAACCAGAGGCCTTTGTGTTGTCTTGATCCTTAAAACCACTTTCTACTACCATAGGCTGATGTTGGACCTATGCGATTCTTCTGGTTGAGGGGGGGCGTATTTGGGGAGGTTTGGGGGTAGTGAGCATGCCTTTTTGTGTGCGCTGAGGTGAGGAGGCAGAGAGGGCCTGTTGTTTTGATGTAGATTAGGGGCCATGCGGGACATCAGAGGTCTGGTGTGATAAGCAGATCAGTGCCTGGGGGCCAAAGCATGGGTCACTTTAACCCCCTCTGTTCTGGCTCCAGTCTGTTTTGTTTTCTAGGTATTAGTAGGGAGGGTATGCTAGTCTGTTGCCTTGAGGTTTAGCATGCTTAAAAGGTCCTATATTACATAAAATTGACTTGTGAGCTTTCAGCCATATTATAATGATATACCTCATCAGAAACATACCTGAAGTTGTGTTTTGTTTCATTTACTCATGCTTCAGTAACCCTTTATTATTAGTCTGTCTACATCTAAAAAGATCAAAATGCTATGATCCATCTTGTGATGTCAGGTCATTTACTCCCTTTTTTCCTTTAGTTTAGTAGAGATTAGAAATTCCTTGGTGGGAGCGATTCAAATGATTCTAGGAAAGGTGTATGGAGTTTCAAAACACAGTGAAACTCTTCCTGTCTTATTACATGACATCACAAAGTGGAGGTGTTAAAGTGTTTTCAATTTGAGAGAAGAACAAAGTCTAAATTTGCAGGGTTTGTGTGTTAAACATGTGTGAGTGAAACAAAACACAACTCCAGATATGTTTTTGATGAGGAAAAATTATATCATAGATCAGAAAATAGCATGAAATTACAGTTTTCTAACATGGCTTAAGGGGTCTCCATTTTCCTTTTCATATGTTTGAGCAAAGTGTGTCTTGCTCCAGTACAGATATATTCTATAAGCATTTCTTGCAGTTAGAATAAGTCTGCTGCGTGCTGTCTGGATGTAATTATAAAGTGTTTTATTGTCTGATAATCAGGGAATATGTGGTTAGCATGCTAGTTGTAGTTAACATTACTATGATCATGCTGGTCTCTGAAATCTGTGAAAGGTACTTAGAAACACATCATGGTGAATAATTAGGATGCTCTGAATGCATAAGGTAAGTGAGGAATAACTTTGAACCACTGCAAACTTTAATATGAACTAGTTCTGTTTTTTTTTTGTTTTTTTTTTATGTTTGCATGAGAGTTAAAATCAGCTAAAGCACCTTTATTGATAAAACTCAAAACTGCAGAATTGACTGGCCAAAACCCGAGCTGATTTTCACTGAAGTTTTTTTTTACTACTGGCTACATGATATTCTTTAATACTATGTCCCATAATACAGTATTACTCAAACTTGTGTGGCTTAGTGAAAAAACTCTGGGTAAGCTAATGATGAGTTATCTTACCAAGAGCTGAAAAGCTGAAGATATGTTTTATCATTTGTGCAGTTTAGACCAATAAGAGACAGACACATTATGTTTCCTTCATTGAGATCCAGTTTGTTCATAAATACTCTACTTCAGAAGCAAAATGGAGACAGCACACTCTACTGGTGTGATAGTGACACAGCCAAATCAACCTCACTTTGACTGGTGAGCTCTGGGCAATTTCAAAGTTATACTGACACCTAGTGGTCGATTTGTAAAACACAATGAATAGGAGAAGAAGAAAAAAAAGGTAGTGCGCTTCACTGGGTCTTAGAAGCGTAAAAAATAGCAGTACAATTGCTCTACGAGGGTTAAAACCGTGGTCTTTGAACAGAAAATTACCCTGAAAATGTAAAAATGGGTTAGGTACAAACCCGAGGCACTCTGACTGAATATATTATAATGTATTTGCCCTGACGAAGACCATCTTGCTGGTCGAAACTCGTTGGCGTCCCTTCATGTAATAAAGGACTTTTAATATATCCAGTCGGAGTGCCTCGGGTTTGTACCTTACCCGTTGTTACATTTTCCAGTAAAGGTAATTTTCTGTTCAAAGACAAAGAATAGGAGACTTGACTTCTAATACACATTCTCCCATGTCTACAGTCTGCTGCTCAAACACAACTTGTTATCATGGTTGAATTGTCTGCCTTTATGCAAACATAGAATGGATATTTACAGTTTGGTAATGAGCTATAAATAAGGACTGGGTAATATTTAGGAATATATTTAGCTTTTTTCATATTTCTTGTGATTACAGGGACATACCAGAAAAAAACAAAAAGCAAAATATCTTTCTGATGTAAGAAATATTTAAAATCCCCATGTTATGTGCTGTTCTTAACCCCATCCAGTCCAATGTGTTAAGTTATCATCAGTAGGCAACAACAACTTTCTTGCGTTTTTTTTTTTAAATGAAAACGTTGCCAACATTAGGGCCAATATTGTGACCCCCGTCAAATCAGCTACCAGACCTGATCTGCTCTCGTGTGTTTTTTTAAGTTTGAGCCGGTGTCACTGGAGTGTCTTTCAAATGTGGTCAATAAGCTGAAGCCTTCATCCTGCTCTGCTGTCCCGTCTCGTCTTTTTAAAGAGGTGGGGACACAAGGTTTTTAAGGCCTGTTTTTAGTGACCATTTTTTGTGTTTTTAAGACTTGATGACTGTTTTTGACACGGTTGACCATACAGCGCTTTTAAATCATTTGGAACTGTGCTGGTGTCAGGAGGAACACCCTCAAGTGGTTCAAGTCTTACCTTAATTACTTGGGAGGAGCTGCTCCACCAGGGTTAAATTCTTGTGTCCGTTCTTTTTGCTTTTTGTACCTCCTCCCCACTGAGTGAAATCTTAAAAAAAAAAAACATGGCATTCAATATCACTTCTATATGCAGATGATTACCAAATTTGCCTGCCACTTAAAAAACTTGCTTCATTCCCCGACACCTATCTTTGATTATCTTAATGATGTCAAGGATTGGTTGGCCACAACTTTTTAAGTCTTAATGAAGGCAAAACTGAAGTCACTGTGTTTGGCAACGCTGACCCCTTCACTGACCTGGCCCACTGAAACAGCACATGA